TCATGAAACAGACTACATGAAAAACATGATGAAGTTAGCCTGCAGCCTTTATTATTATTTGCTTTTTTCATTATTAGAGCCACCAGCGGTTTTCCTCTGCTCTTTGGATACAACAGCTGCCTGTGCCTTCATATCACCGTAAATGGACTTATTTTCTTTTTAATAGCATCAACGCTGGACGTCGGATATGCGGCGGAGACTGTGTCCGCTATTTTAGCCCACTCTCTCTCTTTAACCTCCTGAGTTAAGCGATTTCTCGACAGAGGTTATAAACACCTCTAAGTCACCTGACTTGAAGTTCAATGATAGTTGTTTCTGCTCCATTTTCAGTTTATGATTCATTCAAAAACATGACCAAAAAACAACGAAAAAAGCCGTATAACTCGGCGAAATGAGTAGTGGTATCGGTTGCTAGGTAAGAGACATAAAAGTTAATAACTGATGTTGGATAGAGTATTTAGGATTTCCTAACCTGAAATAAGACAGGATTCCTAAAGTTAGTTAGGATTTGCTTCTTTAATACCAAATTGAGAAGACTCTTCCTATCTTAACTTAAGACTTAAGATAGGACCTTTCTGTAATACGGCCCCATTTCTTTTTTTCTTCCGTAAAGAAAACTCATAATGCAGCCTAGATGGTTAAGTGGTACAGACGCAAAACTCATAAGGTAGATTCAGGTCACCGCAATGAACTCAGGCGCAAAAATTCATGCACTTTTACCTCTAGGGGCGCTAGAAGCAAAGTCAACGCATTTGGGCATGGAACTCCCGCATACTCAGGCGCAAAAACCTTATATCCACGCGTTTGGGGGTTCGAGCTGAATCTTGTGGTAGGCCACGGCAGATTTCAGTCTATAATTTTTTCCCTGCAAAATTGCAAAAACTGAAAAATCTATTTTGATTAACTCCTCTGAAAACGCAAGTTTGATCGGCACTAAACTTGGCACGGATCATCTCTGGACCAAGCTGAAAAAGGTAGAGCTCCCTAGATTGATTCGTCACCATGTTATGTGGCATGCCCCCCCTGAGAGGCTGTGCAAGATTTGGTGCAATCAGCCCCTAGGTGGCACTATTTAAAACAAAATATTTGTTCTTCTATAATAGAGCTGCACGATTTAGAGAAAAAGTCATACTGCGATTATTGTGTACGATTACAATGGAACAAATGGTACTATTAGTCTACTTGCTTAATTATCAAGGAATGCATGAAATACTGACATTTTGAAATGTGTATTTCTCAACTTGAACAAAGAAACAATATTTATAACAATAACTAGTAAAACAGAGGAGGTGGACAGAAGCAGCAAATATTGTCACACTGGCATCGGCTCAGTGTACATCTGTCTAATGAAGAGTGTTTATCCACAACCAGGAACTGTACACGAGTGTATTAAATAAAGAACACATAACAATAATATATTAAATACTACATTCATTAGAATTTCATATAATAGTATACTTTTACATTGGTCTGTAATTTGTTAATGCTAAGTACTAACTTGTCAATAATCATATTGTTCAACATTTGAAAATTTGCTGTAGTTCGTCAAACCTTTTTTAATGTCCCGCCCCATCCGGGCTGTGATTGGTCGGTTAGTGAATAGTGAAACTTACAGGCACGTCGGCTTTATGAAAAGTTTAGCAACAAAAGGCACTGATACAGCTAACGTTAAATGGCCAAAGCTTCCTTATATTGTCCCTGTTTTCTGCTGTCTTACTGCTTCAGCTGCTGCCGACGTCGCTCTGTCAACCGGAGCACCGGCATTTCTCTCGGTGCTCTGGTGGCGAGTTTGACTATGTTTTGAATGATTAGCGGCGGGGCGGAGACGGGGTTACCGTAGGTTGTTGTCTTAAAGGTTACTGGCACACTGCTCATAAAACATTTAGCTCATTGCTCGTAGGCTTTTCTGTTTTTAGAGGCACATGCGAGAGCCCTGTGTGGGTGGAGATAATGAGCAGACTGCAGCGACACACAGAAGAGAGTGTCTCACATACTTCTACTGTTTTATTAAATCGCACACTTTTTGCGGTTATGTTATAGCACATGACGACATCGCAATTGCAATTGCGATTGCAATTGCGATTAGATTAATTGCGCAGCCCTACTCTATAACCACAAGTCAGATTGACATGAAACCTGAGCCGAATTGTTCAGGATGGTCTCCTGACTCCAGGGACCAAAGTTGACCCAAATATGCCCATAGGTGGCGCTGTTATTGCACATCAAATACGTACAAAAAATCCCATTGACTTACATTTTTTATATCTTCATAACCACAAGTCTGATTGATACAATATGTTCCCCATGGGACCCTGATGACACCTGAAAGATTTGGTACAATTCGGCATATGGGTGGCGCTATAATCGAAGAACAAATACCGTGGGAAAATCCCATTCATTTGAACCAAATGACATTTTGCCTCATAACTACTGCACATTCGTTAGTCGTGTATATTAGTGTTGTCTATACTGTAGTTTGTGTCTGATTTTATTATTGTGTGGTATTTTTGTATGAGTAAGCACATCATGAGCAATGTACAATCCTGAGTCAAATTCCTCGTATGTGTACACATACCTGGCAAATAAAGCTGATTCTGACTCGATGATACGCCTCTGTGCGATAACATCATAGCCACAACTGAAAAACCTATTTTAAGTCCGATTGGCACCAAACTTGGCATGGCTAATTTCTGGACCAAGCTAGGGCTGAACATTTTTGGAAAATAATTTAATTGAGATTTGTTTTTTTTACCAATTTTGTGATTGCGATTTAATATGCAATTCATTTTTAAGCTCTTTATCTTCTGTATTATTCAAAACGGACAGGCAGTAAATCAGTGTATAGTGTGACCAACACAATATTAGATCAATTAAACATACACTGTTCTTTCTTGTGAGTCAGGCCTGTGTTATGATGAAATCAGGTCATGCATGAATTATTATGAGCAATGGTGGAGAAAATGTCAGATTTTAATAATATGAGAAATAATTTAAGTAAAGTCATGACATGAAATGATATAATATCATCAGGTCAGCCTACCTATACAGACCACAAGAAAAACACAGTTCACCACAGTGTGTGACAGTAAGCGCTCGATACAAAACTCACAGTTCAACCACTAATTAATGCTACCTTATCTCAGTTCAAATCTCCCAGGAGTCCATCTTTCTGTATCCCAGTAAGCAAACAAAAAAATACTCAATTCAAAAGTTGGCCAACGAAAATACAGCCAAGTGACACTATTAATCATGTATCAAATAACACTCACATACATACACATTCATTATATAGCTCTGTAACCACAAGTCCCTTTCAGTTTCAAACAAATTTATTCACGAGGGGCCCCGAAGCCACAGCGGGGCGCCCATGTCGACTTGCGTGGCCTCCGTGGGGCAAGGGGCGCGGCTGGTGCCAGGAGGCTTGGACCCTCCTTACAACTGCTTGCACATATAGTACGTATTACGTAACGCCATTACATGTAATCCATTACTCCCCAACCCTGCCAACAACTGGTTTAGTATAAGCATAAATATGTAAATTGTAAAGTTGAGTAGAGGAAAAGTTATCAGTTAAAGTTGTCATCTTAGCTGGAGCTGAAATAAACATCACAGCCTGGATAATAGTAAGTTTGGACATTTTGTGAGGGGCAGGGTGCCGCTGTAAAGGAAAGGGTGCGCTGGATTTAACCAATTTAAGAAAACAAGTGTCATTGCGCATAATAGTTGTTTTAATTCGATTAATTGGATTTAATTTTAAACTTGTTTTTATAATTGTTGGAAGCCAAAATCGAAATTGTGACTAAATTTCAATTAATTGCACAGCCTTAGTTTGTCATTATTTCCTGGGCACCATCATCTCCCAGGACCTCAAGTGGGAAATTAACATCACCTCCCTCACCAAGAAGGCCCAGCAGAGGATGAACTTCCTGCCGCAGCTGAAGAAGTTCAGCCTGCCAAAGACAATGATGGTGCACTTCTACACTGCCATCATTGAGTCCATCCTCACCTCCTCCATCACCATCTGGTTTGGTGCTGCTGCTCTGCAGAGAAGGTGATTGGCTGCAATTTTCCATCACTTCAGGACCTGTACGCCTCCAGGACTCTGAGGCGAGCAGGAAAGATTGCAGCTGACCCCTCCCACCCTGGACACAAACTGTTTCAGACTCTCCCCTGTGGGAGGCTGCGGTCCATGAGGACCAAAACCTCTCACCACAAAAACAGTTTCTTCTCGTCTGCAGCTAACCTCATTAACAAGGCCCGGGTCCCCCACTGACACTCCCCCTTTCAAATAATACAAACGCCTCTGCACATGTAAATCTTATTTCATTTCATATCATGCACAGACCTGGCACATCACACATATTTGTTTTATGTTGTCAATTTATATATTTATGTACACAATATTCTCTTCCGTTGCAACACGTCTGCACAACACAAACCTGGAATAATGCATAAATATCTGCCACTTCATCTTTTTCTGCAAATAGTTATTATTTTTCTCCATTCTTTTATTATTCTTATATAACTTGTATTTGTTTATTCCATATTTATATATTTCTACTTTTATTTATGTCGACTGTATGTTTGTCTACGTGTAGCACCTTATCACCAAAGCAAATTCCTCCTATGTGTAAAACACTACTTGGCAATAAAGCTCCTTCTGATTCATTACCTTTTAACACCTTTCAAACACACAGTCAAGTGATCTATAGTTCATATACAAATATTGATTAATGCAGCTTTATTGATTTATTTTGTTTGACCAATCGTTCCTGTAGTCTATAATTATAACAAATCAGTCCATCAGAATGTATTTCTGGTCATTGACTAATTGGCTAAGGAATCATTTAAGTGCCAAAATCTATCTTAAAATAATTCATCACAAGATATGTTTTTGAGAGAAGATGACCTGTATTTGCTCAACATCACTCTGCAGTTTTGTAATCCAAATGTTCAGTATTTTACAGTGAAAAGCCTTGAAGCACAGAGTTTCTACTCACTGTCTTTGTCCACGGTAATCTGGTTACTCTCCACCCAGTTGGAGCTCTCAGCCCCCAACTGCGCCCGCACTCTGCCTGTATACTTTCCATACATGCTGATGGAGAGGTTGGTAAAGTCACATTCAAGTTGGGAAATATTCACACAGCCCACTTTGTAGGATGTGACTGAGGTGCTGTGGACAAAACAGAGGTCTGGTGTTACCGATTTATCAGTGGTGATGTACTGCTTGTATAAATCAGCAGTCTGAGCAGTATCTACATTGATTTGGAGTCATGTTTCTGCTCAGCTGATGAATGTTAGTCCAACACTCACTTTCCTATTAACTCTGTTCAGCTGCTCAATGTTCCAAGATGTTCACCAGCTACTTGCTAACTGTGTCTGTCTGCTATTTGCTGCTGGACAGGTAGTGGACACTGGGATTTATGGGCTTTTCCACAGAAAAAGCTGCTGCTGGTAACAAGGGTGATAATGTAGTGTTTCTGTCCACCTGACAAATCGAGTCCAACATTTCCCTCTCTCTAGCTCAACCATCTCTTTAGCTTTTAGATGTCTCACTAGTTGGCTACTATCTTTCTTTGTCAGCGCTTTGTTGTTTGGCAGCTAGCGTACAGCCATTTTCTCAGAGGATTTCTGCCCTCTGCAGCTGCAACCAAGCTTCATTAAAGCTGAAAGTGTGGGACAAACCCAAACAACAGTCCAAAATGCAGGTTAAGTAAATGAAGAACAATGAGCTCATAGTTCTCTCTTTTGTCAACAGTGTAATGTGTGTCAGGACACACCAACGTGTTAACATGAGTCAGTCACAGTATACTGGGTGTATCAGTCCTCTTTACCAGAAGAGAAGGAACTTTCGTACAGCACCACTCATATGGTTGTTGATAAGAGGAATGTCTGCTGTGTTATGGGGAAGTGGGGCTCTACAGCTGCTGCTGATTTGCCATGTGATTTTGTCAGTTAATGTAATTAAGTTGCTGATAAAATCTGGATGTTAAACAGCAACCATGTAGCAACAAATCAGCATGGCAGATGAAATTGCTGTTTTCCTTGTAAGTGGCCTGACTTCAGAGAAACAACAGAGTATGGAAGCAGATATAGTCTATTCATATGTAGGGCTGGGCGATAGGGCCAAAAATATTATCACGATAAAAACATTTCATACCATTCGATATCGACAATTATCACGATAAATGTCAAATTATCAGTTCTTTCAAGATTAAAGGCTGATTTTTGCTCCTGAAAAAGTGAAGAAACCAGTTTATTGTGCGGTTCAACTTTTCATTATGGTCAGAATTGGACAAACACTTGATGCCAATTTATTATTATACTGATATGTAAAAATAGCACTGGCCTATAGCTACTGGGTATTACTGTGGAATCTAAATGATGGACCGAAAACATTTTAGTTGTGTAACTCCATACTGTTCTGGGAGTGTGGTTTTATAAGTTTGGAAATTGGTACTGCTGAAATGATTAATTTGTTATTTTTGGTGTAACTTTTTAACTTTTATGTCTTTTTTTTTTAAAATCTAAAGTGTCCAAAATTCTGTGGTTACAGTTTTTCAAGTGTAATATCTGCTGGTTTTCTTTGTCTTATATGATAGTAAACTGGGTTTTAGACTATGGGTCAGTCATAATTAAATGTAGGGCTAATGTACGACAATTATTTTCATTATTCTGTCAATTATTATCTTAATTAAATGATTAGTTGTTTGGTCTATAAAATTTCGATCAGTGTTTCCCAAAAGCCTAAGAGGACACGCTCAAGATATTGAGTTTACTGTCAGAGAGGAGGAAAGACGCCAGAGAACATTCACATTATTTGATTCAGTGTTGCAGTTGTATTTGAACATGAAAACAACATGTCTCAGGCTCTGAAAAAGTATGACATTTTCAGTTTATTCTGGTATTTTACAGACAAATTGATTTATCAAATAATTGACACTGAAATTAATCCACAGTTGCAGATCTAAAAATCAGACAAACAAAAATTGGCTGTGATGAGCGTCTCAGAGTGAAAACTGTTTGCAGAAGCAGAGGGTTTATTGGTGCTGAGATGTTGACTCACTTGTACTCAGCTGTGTAGAGCAGACCGCTGGATGCCCCTTCAGGTGAATCCCAACTCAGCACCAGATCCATGTTCGAGGACTTCAAGCTGACATTTGTGGGTGTGCTGACGGCTCCTGTTCCCACTGCACAGTCAACATCCATAGTAAAAGGGCACAGAGTTGGTATTTCTTGGATCTAAGCAATGGTACTTTGATTTCCTAATGAATAAACTAATATCAGTAACTACAGGTGTGACACTGACTGTCCTTTTCACTTGGAACACCTTTTGAAGGTGATCTGGATGGTGCATATTCTTTTTCTAAATATATACGTCCACTGTGTTTGAAGCCACACAATCTAAGTTACTCAGTCAACTTCAATCAAAATGTTGTATTAAAAGCCAGAACACACTTCAGTCATCTCCTTCTAACGTAAGCCCAAATCCTAAACTAACAGTCTCATGATGGTTTAAGGAGCTACTTGTTGGGGTCGTCCATACAAAAGCTTAGAGAGAATCTTAGAGACCAGTTCCCGTAAGAACCCCGCACACATCCGGTCTGCTGAACAGAGACCTTACCTCTGGGTCCGCACAGTGCTGACAGCGTCAGGATGAAGGCACAAACAGCAGCTGCCATGTTACCCGAAAGTCTCTGTCACTTCGGAAGTTAGTCCAGCAGTGCGCGCGTGCTGAGGGTCCGTTTCATTTATAAACCCTGTATTTCCTGGTAGCATTCACTAACGAGAGGCGGGGAAGTCCGTGGAAACGCAACGCCTTCCTGCGCGGAAACGTTCGCGGCTTCAGGGAAGCAGGGGCCGCTGTGAGAGGAGGAGAGCTGACGTGCTGGTACAGGGCAGGACTATGTAGCTTCGCTGTCATATCAGCAGCAGAAATAAGAAATGACCTGGAGACGATAAAAGACAAAAGTATGCAGAAGAGTTACTGCCACTGCCAGCTTCCTAAACTCAGCCAAACTCCGTCTTCTTCTTATTCAGGCGGTGCTAAAGACCGGAGGTATTACCGCCACCGCCTGATGCGGAGTGTGGCTCAAATGTCAAGTATTAACTACCTAACACGACTTTTGTTCCTAGGTAGTAAGCGTTCTATCCTAACAGCGGTGGACGAAGTAGACAGATCGTTTCCTTAAGTAATACCACACTGTAAAAGTAGTATGTTACAAGTAAACTACAAGTAAAAGTGTAAGTATAATCAGGAAAATGTACATAAAGTAAAAAGTAAGATGTAGAAGTAGAAAGTGGCAAGTAAAGTACAGGTACCTCAGATTTGTACTTCAGTACAGTACTTTTGAAATGTACCTATTTCAAAATATCCAGGGGTCCACCAGCCTAAAATAATGGTAACAAGTACTCATATCTACTTAGTTGCTGTTTGCTAATTGCGTATGCCTCAACCATATAGAACATTATTATTATAATTTGAAATGTACCTGTTTCCAATGGGAAACCGGGCAGATGCGTCTTTTCATTCACATAAAGTAAGAAACAAAACAATGTATGAATCCAAATGAACATGTACTTCTAAATGTATTTATACAGTCTTAATGCACCCATCTTGAAGTCTCCTAACACCCCCCAACCATACTCATCATACTTCAAGGCGTCCAGCAAGGTCTTGATGCTGTAATCCTCTTTGAGGTGCACCGGGTGAGCCAGGGGAAGATATGAGTCACAAAAACAAAGTTTGTGGGGAATAATAGCCATTTTCTATACTTTTGAGGCATAAGCAAATAGAAAATAATACTTAATGCCCCGGAACACTAAAGAATTTTCACACTGTGTTATCGTACACTGTATAAAACATATTTACATTATTAAACACACATAACCTCATTTTCTCAGTCATATCAGTCAGTCTAAGATCTATTAAATCAAAGTCCCTACCTGTTGTCCTTCTTTCTTCCTCATACTTCAGACAGAGAAACATAACATGCTCTACTGTCTTCTTGGCCACAGTCACACCTGCCTGAGTTATGTTTACCTATTCTGAATCTGTTCAGTCTGGTGATGATCGTCTCCTCTCTGCTCTTCCTTCCTGTGCAGCTCATTTCTCCCATTTTCCTCTGAACTCTGTAAACCACAGTCTTTTCTCTCTTCCTCCCACCTTTCCTTCATTCTCTGTTTAATAATGGTCTTGATCTGTTTTACTGAAGCTAACTGCCACATCACTGTACACTGATACCCACATGTGCTGCTACCCATACAAATCTCACCCATCTTTTGAACTATATGTTTGTCCTACTTCTATCTAATGGCCTGCTCCGCAGTCTGAATGGTTGCTCTGTAAACTGCGAGCATTTCTCCTGTGTACACTGATAATCCCTCACTGATCCTTTCCACTATTCTGAGATGGTACTCTGGAACAATAAAGGCTACTCCCATTTTATTAACTAAACTAAACACGATAAACTATGTAGATCTGGTGTACCTGTGGTAACAGCAGTATAATGCCTGTATGGTATGTGATTGCGAAATCAACTCCCTGTCCTTGTTCTTCTTTTCTGATGGATGTCAGGAAGTATCAAAGGTGGTACCGTTGAACTAAAGCGTAATTTATCTACTTTAATTTCTGTTGCTTTTTGTGTCACTGTCCATCCAAAGCTTTGTGTCTCTCTCCTCTCCTTTTCCCAACCAGGTTTTAAGGTGTGTTGTGTTGGGTGATCTTGACTGTGGCCTGTAAATGAACCCAGTAATCAGTGATAGCTGCACTAAACTCATCTCATGTGACATTCCTCCCATTTCCATCTGAAATGCTGTTGGGGTTGTCTAAAATAGCACCCTCAAGGGAGCAGAGGGCAGCTGCTGTGCAGCGTCCGGGGACTAACTCCAGATTCTTTTTATCAGTGCCCGGTCAATTGCACTGACTGAAGAACCTAGCATGTTGCCCAATCATGTGACCTATGTCACGTGACTTAAACACGTGGAGACTGCAGCGACTCAAAGGAGGTGAACCCCAGCTGCTAGCAGGGTCACCGGTCAACATGCATACACATCACTAACTTGGGTTTAAACACACACCCCTGTGAAGGTTAGCTAAGGGTTAGGGGCTACGGGGGGCTGTCAACGCATTTAAGACTAATAGAGTTAGCTAGCTGGCAAACGCTAAAGCTAATGCTATTTAACTTTGTTGAAACACCAAATCCATCTTGTTTCACAGGTGAAAAGCAGCTAACTTGCTGAATCTTATCTTACTTTTTGAGAGATGTGCTTGCTGCTGATCTATACACCACACAGCTGTATTATACTGATCTCATTAATCCACTGTAGGGCCTTCAAAAGTGTTCTATCATTCACTTCCAACTAAACACCTCACTACATTTAGTACTTTCTTACATTTCTGACCCTAAATAAAGTCAACAGACAGCAGGAATAGTAGGCTATTCACAGGTAGGGGTGCCCTTTATGGCCCCGCTGGTCAGGACCGACCATTTTGGAAACCAATTTTTGATGGAAACCACTTTTTAAGATATAAAGAATAGGGACAGTAAAAAGCAATATGTGCCCTCTAACATAAATACATTTTTAATATTTGTTACATCAGTGAAATATTTCTGTTACAGCCGGGACTGGAACCAGACAACACTGCACGTGCATTAGTGCGTTTACTTGCATCTGTTTTAGAGACGAACACAATAGAGCAAAAAAAAAAAAAGCTGCCAGGGAGAACAACAGAAGAGGAAGTGTTTTTCTGGCTGACACGCCACTTTATTGGACAGCAGTCATTGACTGGATGCTGCAGCTGATCGGACTGATCTGATAACAATATCACTGCAGTTTCATGAAGACTGATCACAGATTAAACTCTGACTTTATATTTGATTTGTTCTCTGACTCAACATCTAGTCAAAAATCTGTGTTCATTGTAGGTCTAAACAACAAAAGGACCACAAACAACTTTCTGCATTTATTAGAAAGATTTTTCTTAACTTTTACTATGGAGACAATTAAAGTCAGAGAGACTGACAGTCTGTCTGTCAGCAAGAAACACTTTATGCATCAATTCTCAAATGATGCCATGATCATATTGTGGGTTATTCAATAGAGTTTACATCAGAATATCAATAAATAGAAATGCATATAATATAAAAGTGATGTTGTGCCTCTGAGCAGGACACAGTATAAATACAGAATGCAGAGAGAGAGCATGCTGCTCTGCACTGAACTGCGGCTGTGGCTCAGGAGATAGAGTGGGTTGGTAGAGCGGTTCAATCCCTGGTTTGAGCACTTAGGCTCAGTGTATGACTGGTGAATGCAGATGTAGTGTAAAAGCGCTTTGAGTGGTCGAAAAGACTAGAAAGGCGCTATACAAATACGGAGCATTTACTGATAACTCTAGGTCTAACATTAGTTTGTGTTTCGCGGGTGTGGTTTGATGCAGTATTGTAGCCTATGTGGGTGATCTATGGGGCCCAAAATCTGTAGCGCCACTTCTGTTCACAGTCTAACTAGTATAATACTAATCAGTATTATTCGGTGTACCGGTTGCTGTTCAGCATGTACGAGAAGTGTCGAGGGCTGCCAGCTTGTACCAGACCTGGTACCAGCCTTGTTCCGTCCAGTCAGGTCGCTGTCACATGGTCATGACTTACTGGGAACTACAATAGAACAGAGCCACTGTCCTACCAGGAGTCAGAAGGCCTATTACGAAAGTTTCTCTTTTGAGTCCCAGAGCAGCCCTTTAACATCACGAAGAGCAGCATAAACAATCTTTACAGTTAATTTCTATCAAAGGAGCAGGACTTTGCACTAACTGAGGACAAGATGTTGATTTTTTTGACAGAGCCCAGAAATGGAGAGGGAGTTCTGTTCAATAAACAATAACAAGGCATTTAACCTCTTCACCATCAGCAAATGAAAGAAATGCTGACTTCCACAGTAGACTTTAATGAGAGAAGAGGCATGGGTACCATGAGCACTGATAATACACCCGCAGACTATCTCTGTTTACTGGGTGAAGTTTTCTTTATTGGGGAAATGACTATGAAAGAACTGTAATTACATTAATGGCTGATGAAAAGCTTTCCAGTTTATAACATTGAGAACACACACACATACAAATGTTGTGTTAGCATCGGTGCTAGTCCATTTGTTAACCAAGTCATGCAACTCTTCACCAGCACACCACAATTAATTCACCAGATGGTTTCGATATCTTGCACTCACCAGGCACCTTAAAAAGACATCATCACTCTGATGAGGGCAAGACAGCCAAAAACATTTGGTGAATAAACAGCTGATCAGCAACAGCAGTAACAAAATAAAGAATAAAGAAGGATAGAACAATGGACAACAGCATTTAAGAAAAGATAAAACTATGCTGCTGGCTTTTTATGATTATTCCTATATGTCTCAGCTGTTCAGGTTGAATTTCATGCATCGGTTAAGGCATTTCCAAAGTGTATTCTTTTCCTCCTCATTTGTCCCAGTTATTCTTGGGCATATGGAAGTCCTTTCACAGACAGTAACTTCATCCACATGAAACTCATTTAAAAAATCCAAAGAGGAGTCGGAGGAAATTAGAAATTTTGCCATAAAACTGGATAAGTACAATTTACAAAACATCTCACTCTGATACTAAACCGTACATCCCCCACAGGTTCCACACAACTGTGAGCAGTCGGAAATTTGGCCTGAGAGTTCGGGAGGTCCAATCCACCATTCTGGCCATGGAGAAGGAAGTATGACTGGAGATAAGAGAGTAACAGAGAGTTAGCCTACACGCTGCTGTTAATAGTCCACTTAAAGTCTCATTACAGTTGTTTACATGCACCTTTGATAATTGTGATTAATCGACCAGTTGTGAAAATATTCCTTACCTCAGGTAGAACAGTCTGTCCATGTGCCTATGGATGCTCCCTTTTTGACTGGACAGTGGCAGGTTGTGTATTTGGAAATATAAAAGAAGTAATGACTATGAATGAATATCATTTCCATGTAAAACAGTTTGTTCAAAGTGTAAAAGAAATGGCATTATTTTAGATTCTTGGTTCTCAGAGGATGGACGTGTGATCCTCTGACACCACCAGCTGGCTGGCATTCATGGTTTTAGTGAAATCTCTTATCAACCGTTGGACAGCTCACTTTGACATTAGCTACACACACTCACACCCTCCCTCAGGATGAACTGTAATAAATGTAATGATCCTCCGACTTTTCCTCTAGCGCCATCATCAGGTCAGTTGTTTGGTTTATGACCAAATACCAAAACTAATGACATTCCCATCAGCCTCAGCTGCACACTGTGGTAGGTACTGATTTGCAGGCTAACTTGCTAAACATCAGTATGTTAATTGTCATTGCAAACCTGTTAGCATACTGACACTAGCATTGAGTGCAGCCCAACAGACCTACAAAAAATGTTACTTTTTAACATTCTTTAATGATAACATGTATTCATTTAGCTGACGCTTTTATGCAAAGCGACTTACAACAGCTAAATATGTCAGAGGTCACACGTCTCTGGAGCAACTAGGGATTAAGTGTCTTGCTCAGGGACACATTGGTGAATGTGTCACAGTGGGGAATTGATCCCGGGTCTCTCACACCACCCCATAATTGATTAATCTACAAATCAGTTCATCAATAGTTTAAGCTTTATCCAGTTTCTAATAAAATTCAAAGTATGATCATAATTAGCCCAATTATTTCAGAAACCAACTAATCAAAGTGATCACATTGATAGGCATCTGGACACTAGAGACACATTCACTCTACATACATAAAGAATTTGAGTGCAAAATGTCCCAGCACACACGCTGGATCTGTTACCAGAGTTCTGGGTAGGTGTCTTAGTAATTTGAAGCTCAGCTGACTGCCGTAGACAATCAATCCGATGAGGAGAAACCCCAGTGCACAGAACACACCCAGCAGGCTGAAGACCACGTACACTATAAAACAGGAGGACAGCAACATATATCAAATTCAATTTCAATTATCAAAAATATCATTGTGTGGAAAGAGTGGAAATGCATTAGCCTTCAGTGTACATTGCTAAATAGCAAATTCAGCACCTCAAGTTGAGATAGATCCTGGAAAATAACATTGCCATCTGGCAGGTGTGGTCAAGCCTCAGTGTTTTCCATAAATCCAACATGTAGGTTACCATGTTCTGTTTCTGCCCTATTAGACCACATTAGTTTGGTGGCCCTGATTCACCAGCAGCTGAGTGTATATCGGTACAGTATTTGCAGAGAGCAGAGTATGTACACGTCCACACAGACCTGAGAAGAGGTCAAATCAGGCAAGTCAAGTCATTTGTGGAATAATTTTGGATTTGAGGCTATAGATAGAAAAGACATTGCCAGCGATGCAGCTGTTTGCTGATGGGTAAAAATGCAGCTGCCTTACAGTGACGCTGCAACAACACATCTGAAGTCACCTGTTAACTTGTTACTCAAATGAGCCAATGGAGACACTAGTTCAGGTTAGGCTACAAGCTTTGCATTCAAATTAATTGACGTATCACAGAAAGTAGCAATCCCTTGTCTTAGTAGTCTAACCATCCACATCCTCTAATAAATTCTCATTATCTATTCCTGTGCTCTTAGATACAAGACACTAATTAAATACAGTCTCAGTGAATTTCAGCTGCTGTAGCCTTTACATTAACGTGACGACACTTTGTTCTAGAAATATCACCAGGGCGATCTAATAACACTGCATGTGCTTTTCCATAAAGATGCCTGGGGCGCTTGTTCCACAGCAGTGTAGTGGCCCTGCAAAAAGATTGTTGGCTCTCATGTTACAAGCAGATCATTCTTATTACAACAGGACCAGTTTTCATGTTACAGATTATTCACAATACTTTTTGTCTTATAATTATCAGGAAAGTCATCACTTATGACCAACCTATTTCATTAAAACAAGGACAAATGTTTGTTATGACATTTGTCCTATGACAACAGTTTCTTTTTCAAAGTGAATAAGTTTGCAATAAGGTATGCAATGTGAATATTTTATTAAACTGAGAACACTCAGCGAATTTCTTTTGTCCCAATAAAACACGTACATGAGCTCCTGTGCAGAGGAGGGCTGGTGAAGGCACAGTGAGGTTTACTGGAGACAGAGTTGGTGTTGAAGAGCGCTGTCACGGAGAAGGTCACACAGTACTCCACACCTGGCTGCAAGTACGTGATCATGATCTCCTCTTTGTAAGGCACAATCAGTCTGAACTGCAACACAGACAAACCAGTCATAAACATAGAAGACTCATCACTTTGGGTGTCATGTGAGTTGCCCTATATGACAAGTGAAAAGAAATGGTTTGTTATTTAATAACAAGGTAGCTTGTTTATATAATAATATAAATATAAATGGCTTCGTATAGCCAAATGCTAAATGCCTGACCAGCGGGAGCAATTTGGGATTCAGTGTCTTGCCCAAGGACACTTCATCAGGTGGACCCGTGGTCGGCCTGCTCTACATCCTGAACCACAGACACCCAGGAGGTAGTGGTAATGAAGTTTGATTTAGTTTTCGTTTCTGTAGTTGGAGAACAAATTATTCAATCTTAGATTTTCTCCACTGGTTTGGTGCAAAGAGCAAGAAGTTCCTGAGAATATGTGACACAAACACCTGTGTACATCAGCAAATGCATCCTTAAAAAATGTGTCTCAAAAGTCTTCAGCAAGAAAAAAGAAAATGCTCTAACAAACAGTTTCAAATGACAAGTTCACAGTTTTTAAGTGGTAACATACAAAACTGAAAATACAGTTATTTTAGTCTTTTTACTGCTCTACATGGAGATGAGAGACAAACACTGTTTATGAGGACGATATCCTGATATCCTTTTGTTTAATAACTGCACTCCAGTCTGATGAAACCTCTGTGCTGTACAGAACAGCTGCTTTTCCTACTCTTTTTAAGCAAATACCACACAAATGATGCATGCACCATTCCCCACACATGAACTGGTATAACGTATTTATTTAAGCTTGTGAACTTAATGTGATCTAGCTCTTTTTAAACTTACATGTCATTATTTGTTAATGTCAATCCTTTGCTGTTTTGAATGTCATTTGCATTTGTTTTGTAAAACTAACAAAACATTTTGTCCAGGTTAAAAAGGTAAAACTTGAATGAAGTGGAGTATAAAGTGGAATATTTCCACATGTACTGTTTTGGAGGAACTATAAAGTAGTGTTTCTATAGGTGGCACTCTTTTCTTTCCTTGTTCAGCTTTAATTCTAATTAAATTGTTGCAGTTACTATAGTAAAGGTGATGCGCCTCACTTCCTGTGTCAAAGTTCTGTATTTTTCCCCAGAAAGAGCTGCCACACACCAGGTGTTCAGAACAGGAAATGCAGAACAGGAAACAGGTTGAATTACTAAGTGTGTTATTGTATCTCCAATAGTTTTTATAGTAGTACACGGTTGCTAACGAAAAGAAATGCCACACTTGTTAAAGTGCTTTAATGGTGGAGGTTTGTTTTTCATGTTTTGAAGCCTAAAGGGAACAGGAAGTCTGTTCAGACGTTTGTGTGGCTCACTTCTTCAGTTTTGGTTTGGGCTCCTGGTCTGATCACCTCTCATCACATCTGTATACTGTAAGTGGCAGAAATGTGAGGTGAGAAGATAACAATTACATATGTGAGGATGAAATCCTTTTAGTTCTTATCATCAGGCAGTGTTTCCATGAACACAGGAAAACACGAACCAGTGAGAGGAAGACGTGGGTAAAACCACACACTTTGAAAAACACCAGCCATCTGAAGGAAGCTCTCTCAGCCTACATGTGTTTTGCTCAATATGCTGTTTTTCTCAGTATTTAAAACTGCTCTGAGTTTCATATCATCTGTAAACACGCAACCTGAAATTAAAAACCTGCACAAGTTCTCTCATATCTCACGAAGATGATAAATGTTAGAGAGATCAAATCACGGCACCTCCGCTGTGTTTCTATCACATACACAGTACACATATCCTAATTCCACTTCACACTTTACATATGTGAATTTCTGCAAGGCGATTAACGATTACAGCTAAGAATCCTAATCCAGTATGTCATTTGTAAGAATATTAGGATTCTTAATGAACCCAGACCAAATCCAAAGCAGCATTTAAACTTGTGACAGAAAAGACTGAATCTGACTTTCAATCTGATAACACAGTGAAACAGGCTGAAAACACAACCTTATAAAGCTCTCATAGCATTTTCAGCAGACACATAGCAACCCACTCAATCTAAGTTCAAATTTCATTCTCCTTTTATCTCTGTTTTAGTCTCTGCCAATTCCTGACTTTTGTCTGGCTCTTTGGCTGCTAAATGCTTCATGATGTTCAGTATTTAGTTGTGTAATTTGTCTGTCTGCTGTTTAGTGCAGGTAGTGTATAGTGGGTCTTTTCATTGGAAACTGCTGCCTGCTGAAACTTGGTTGATGAGAGCAGTAAGAGTACAAAAAGAGTAAAGTTGTGGGCCCTAAAAACCAAATCAATGAGCCCAAAGATTGTAAAACACACTGAGATAAAAAAGTTGCAAAGTTGGTTTATAACTTCTCCTTTTTCATTATAAGCGACACCTTTCAATTACACATGGCCAAATGACCCATTGTCCATATACGAATATTGGTTAGTGCAGCTTTAATTGATTTCTTTAGTTTGACCAATAATATAGTCTATAATTCTAACAAAACTCATGACAGTCCATCAGAATCTACAGTATTTCTGGTGACTGACGAATTGGCTAACTAAGGAATCACTAGAAATCAGATTATGAAAGCAGAGTTTGATGGACAGGGTCACCCTTTTACATGGCAGTTATTTGATCCAGTATGTTATTCAGTTATTTGATTTTATGAATATAGAAATATTGAATAGTGCTGCTTTAAGCCTGACACACACCTGTGCACCATCCCTAGTCCTTTGCACATGGAAGACAAGTTCTCTGTAGAGGTCCCTCAGTTGCTGGTGGTACTGGAGGCCCCTTGTTGTAGGAACTCTGAGCTGCAGGAGCAAACAGTTCCCACAGCCGGACACAGACACATCAGGAGGTCCCAGCACAGCTACGGGGAGATATGAACCAACTTTCAGTTGACTGGGAGGAGAGTCATTGCAGGACAAATAATCATAATTAAAAAAAAATTTAAGCCAATATGGCCATCATTGAGATGTTAGGCAACGCTTCCATGTTCACTCCATTTAAATAGAAATAGAATGTTTATTAAGTACAGTGCATATTCCATGTGGATCTGTTCTTTGCCATTGAAGCTTGCCATCATCAGCCTACACAGAAAAAATGAGGTTTAGCTCAACCGGTGAGATCATTTCTGCCTGCAGAGCTGCCTCTGAAAACTGTGTGCAACTTTTACATCTTTCACATAAGTGTGTTGTGGTGTCTTACTGTCTGACAGAGGCTGGAACTGCTCAGACACAGTCCAGTTGGATCTCTGGATGGATGTGAAGGCCTGGACGCGGGCTCGGTACTGACTGAACGGGTACTTGAACGCTCTGGTTAGGTTACATGTCTGTCCAGCAGTCAGCTCAGAACATCCAGTCACTGATCTCCACAAGCTCTTCCTCAAAAGTGAAAGAAAATACAGAGCGAAGGAGAGAAAGACTGATAACAACCCAAGACAACTGTGTCATCCTAAAAAAGAACTTTCACTACAGCAGGTGAGATAAAACCATAACAGGATTGTTACCACAGATGACACTCACAGCTGAATCGAAAGGCAACTGACTGGGCTGTTTACGTCATACTGATACAAGAAACTCATCCTTGTTATGACAAGTACACAGTTACTCAAAAAGGAAAGTGCTTTACACACAGGGTTTAGAAGTGCCTCAGAAACAAAAATGAAACATACGACATACTGTGCAGAGCAAGGCAGAGGCTTAACAAATCACAGTTGGTGAAGATATATCCAGCTCACAAATATGGCGTATACATGCAGAGTGTTTGTTTTGGACACAAAGCGGTCTCTCAGCTCACTGCAACTGCATGAACCATTAATGATGGTACAGACTTTATCTAGCGCCACCAACAGATCACAGTTTTCTCTTAAACAATCTAAACTCCCATAACTACAAACATATCGAGGAGGACTAAAAACTTTTTCACTGATGGGGTTCAATGCAGGAAATCTTGCACACGAAGGGAACCCTATTCATGTGCACTTGGTCACTCTTACGTTCATAACTGACAATAGTCCATCTGTCATCGAAGTCCTAAAAACTGACCTTCATTTTCAATGTAACAAATGCTTTACAAACTTTTTTTTTTAACCTGTGTGCCCCGAGAAATAAGTTATTCCATTTTGCTTATGCCGGATTAAATGGAATACGTGAATGTTCGGATGATAGGTGCTCCAACTTGCTGTACAGTGGACAATATGATAATGTTAAATTATATTTGAAAATGAAAATACAATATAAACAAAGTAGCCTAATTTCCCATTTGTGCAGAAAGTTACCTAAGACAATTCAAATTAGAATGCAATTTGAAAATTTGAAAATAAAAAATTGCTGTCTAGTGGACAAAATACAAATGCAACTAGAACTGCAAGCAGTTGTAAGCGGGGTCCACGCCTCCCGGCGCAAGCCGCCCCCCCTGGCCCGGGTGCCCCTCCGTGGAGAATAAATGACCCGAGTTATAAATGAAAGGGGCTTGCAGTTATGGAGATGTCAAATGAATGTATGTCTATGGGAGTGTTATTTGATGTCCAATTAGTAGCATCAGCTAGAGGCCGATTGACGCCAAATTTCACACAGGCCCTTGGGAGGGCGTGCCAGAGTTTGGTGTAGATCGGACATTGCAAATGTAAGATGTGACATAACATCCTGTTTTTAGCAAAACACATGTTAGCTTATAATTTGGCCGTTTTTAGTCGGATCAAAATTCCCTCTAAAAGCTTTGTTCGGCTTGGTCCAGAGATGGTCTGTGCAAGGTTTCTAGCGATCAGACTTGCAGCTTCAGAGGAGTTAATTAAAATAGGTTTTCCAGTTTTCGCAATTTGGTGAAATGAAAAGGTCATCGCACAGAGGCGTGTCCTATATCATAGGAATCGGCACCATCCCCCGAACACGTAGCAATAAGGTTTAAGAATGTGCGATGTAGTGGTCCATAGGCAAAATGTCCTTTGTTTGAAAATAATGGGATTGTCCGACGGTATTTCAGCTTCGATTATAGCGGCACCTTTTGGCCGAATTGCACCAATTTTTTCACCTTTTGGCCGAATTGCACCAATTTTTTCAGGTGTCATGAGGACCCCATGGGGAAGTTACGGAGATATAAAATGCATCTAACTAAATGGGATTTTTTTGCCATCTTTAATCTGCAATAACAGCGCCACCTATGGGTATGTTTGGGTGAACTTTGGGGCCTGTAGTAAGGGGACCATGCTGAAAAATTTGGCAGTGGTTTCATGTCAATGTGACTTGTCGTTATAGAGGAAGAATTTTTTCGGATTAAATAGTGCCTCCTAGGGGCGAGTTGTACCAAATATTGCACAGGCCCTCAGGGGGGCGTCCTACATTAATGCTCCAAATTTGGTGTTGATCGGCCATTCTAAAGCAAAGATATAACATCATTTCCTGTTAGTAGCGTTTTTGGCAAACGTTTGCTAGCATATAATTGATTTTGATTTGATCCCGCAACAGTTTTTGCGGGATCAAAATTCCCTCTACAAACTTTCATCAGCTTGGTCCAGAGATTATCCGTGCCAAGTTTGATTTTGATCTGACTTGCGGCTTCGGAGGAGTTAATTAAAATAGGTTTAGCAGTTTTCGCAATGTAGTGGAAAAAGGTTTAGGCGGAAATGGGCGTGGCCTATACCACAAGATTCAGCTCGATCCCCCAAACGCGTGGATATAAGGCTTTTGATATCTGCCTTCCTGAGCGGGAGTTCCAAGCCCAAATGCGTTGACCTTGCTTATAGTGCCGCCTAGAGGTAGAAGTGTGCGGATTTTCGCGCCTGAGGTACTCTTGAGGCTGCGAAGTTACCTTGTGAATTTCGCGTCCCTAGCAGTTACTGTCTAGGCCACAGTATCAATTTTATGCACCGAAGTAAAAAATAATAAAAATCCGAGTGATTACAATAGGGTTCCCAGCTCTGCCCACTGGGGCTTGGACCCCTAATAAGCGAAACAGCTGACAACCCCAGTCTATAGCCTCTTGTGGCCGCAATGAGTATTACAACAACAAACACAGAAAAGGTATACCTGCTAAAACAAAAAAAGTAAAGTAAATCTTAGAAAGTTCATGGCAAAACTTCAGTCATAAACAGAAACAGACAGAAAACTATTTAGATCAGACTGATAAAATGAATCACCAGAATCTTTTTTCTCATTTGCCTCTCAGGGCTTCCGTACAAATAGTAATCTTATCATTAACCATTTTACATTTAAGTCTTTGAGTCATCATGTGGTTATCTGGCAATCAGCTTGTAAGTGCATCTGTTTAAGATGTTGGTCTCAGGTAGCTCTGTAGGTATGAAGTCTGAAATAATGGTCCTGAGTCTGCCTCACTGTTTCTTATCACCTCCTTTTCTTTCCTTTCTGGCCTGTTGACTGAATACCTGAGGTGGGTCTGCTTAAGGATTTCAACAGTGAAGTGGGTGTTGGAGGGGGTCCCGGGGCCAGGTAGGAAGCTGAGTTTATGCTCCATGTTAAAGGAAGAGATGGAGACGTTGGAAGGCGCGGGGAGGGAAGCACACAGCACTGCAGAGGAGAACAGAATAAGAATATTAACCTCCACATTTAAAGGGATGGTGAGATTATAATAATCTATAATAATATAATAATAATAATAATAATGTTTGGTCTTTACTATTTTATACATTTGCATCACTAACCATTGCTAAATCTAAATCCACAAATGCACAAATTACAGAAACAAATCCTGTACATATACAATAGCTCTGCACCTCATTCTGAGCAAAGCGCAACTACAAAGTGTAACAGAATAACTATGCATTTACTACCCCTGCCAACCTCCTCTACACGTCTACACAAACACGGCCACAATAAATGTAGAAATCTCAGTCAAAATGGTAACAAAGAGGGAGCTGATCAAAAACACACACACAAAATATGTCCCTTCATGACACTAAAGAAGTTCACAAGAAAAAGCAACAGCCCAGTGACAACACACATTCACCATTTAAACCTCCTCTTTCTTCCCCACCTTTAATCCAGGGAGCATTGCCAAGGTGTAAATGCAGAAGAAGCAGCATCCACAACCCCATCATGGATCCATGGACTGCAGTATGGCTCACAGTTAAATCTCTTATGCAAGATAAGCTCTTGTTTTTGGGTTAGAGCACACAACATATAGAGAGGGATGGGAGGGAGCTGGGGAAACGAATGCTGTTATCACGTACAGGCTGAGTTTCTATTTCCCCTGAAGTCCCTCCCTGTGCATTTTGCCCTTCCAATTCTGTAAGTAACTGTGTGAGCTTTCACAGCAACTGGTGCACACTGGAGTCAGCAAACTTGACTTTCCCTTGTTTCTAAAATGTATGAATTTTATCTGTTGATATTGTGGGGATACTTATTTGTCTTAGGTAACTTTCTGTACAAAGTAAGCTTGAAGAATGTGTACACAAGACTTGCTGTTTTTACTGCAATAATACAAAAAGCATGACTTGATCAAGAATTCTAACTTTATTAATTGGTGAACAGAGTGACATGAGGTCTTACAATAGTCTGACAGTATATAAATGGCAAGATTTTACAGTGAGTATAAAAATAGAAAAATGTCACAATCACACAATATCACAATCACAATAAAGTTGGTTGCTTACTGTAAATTGCAATAATACTTTTATTACAGGATAAACAGGATTACCAGGTAACAGCTGAGGGTTTCTACAGAAATGCATGAAGAAGAACTAATTCACTGCTTGGTCGCGATGTTTAACAACAATGACCTTGTGCTGAAATGTGTGACAGTTACCAAATAAAAAACTGTAAATATGTGGTAGGTGATAATTTTTACCATCTCACTAAAACAACAAGGACTGCGACTTAGAGAACGGTGAAAAATGCCTGCCACAACTGTCTGCAAGCAGCAAGTCCTCATATCTGAGAAATTTTAAGCAGCAAATATTTGGCCTTTTTGCTTAGAAAACAACTTCAGAGTTAATTAATTAGAAAATTATTTCATCACATACATAACGCATTTTTAAAAACACTACAGTACTCATGTGGACCACATTGGCAAAAACTATTTTTCTTATGCTATTTTCACAAATTCAGTTTTCAGTGCATGTCGAAGGTAATGGCAAAGTATGTAGAGAGGAAAATAATGGGCCTCATGGAAGACCAGAGAGCAGTGTATTTTTATCCTGAGCCTCTATTAGAATCATTAAGGCCTGCTCTGCTCTGTTTATGGGTGAGCTGAATGAAAAGAACACCCAAGAGTAAAAGTGACAATCTCTCCCTGTGGAAATTAACGTGGTGGGATGGCTTCGATGGGACAGGGCCGTCACAGAGAGACCAGACAAGACAAGATTAGTCTGCAGAGCAGCCAATGACAGCTGTGTAGAGCAGGATGTTCTCCTGAGGCAGCTGTGGGAGGGACAGAACACTGACCTGTAGCATATAAGCTGCCAACAGGGCAATAAGATCAAAATAATAATTAAAGAAATAGAATTAAAATCTTAACCCAGTTGTAAATCCCCATTAGCTGGATTACTGAAAGAAGGCTTTTTTATATATCTTTTGATTATCTTAACTCATAGACTTGGATAATGAGTTCTGTAAGACATCTGTACACGGACGCCCCATATATCCAGAGTGCTCTTCCTCCTCCTCTTCCTCTTCACTGACAGAGCAGGAAACCGTTTCTATGGGAACTTCCTCTGTGTCCCACATTTGTGAGGGCAGGACTGGAGTGGAGTTGTAAATCACCTCACAAACGGAGGAAGCAGAGGAAGACTCTGGCTCCACCTCTGCCATGTCAAGAAGGGCTTTCTCTTCCACCTCCTCTTCATGCCTGCCGAAGGTTAATGTGAGGAGGTTTACCTCCTCATCCTCATTTGGCTCAGTTCTTTCTACAGTATAACTGTCTGTGTCTGCAGGAGGACAGGGGGCTGAGGGGGGGTGTGGGCTCAGACCAGCATTGGAATGTGTCTCTGTTAAAGTCAGGGGTTCAGGCTGGGGATTGAAGAAGTCTGATGTCTGGCTTGTGTGGAAGCTTGGCGGCGGTTCAAGCTCAGAAGTTAAATGGTCTGACAGAGTTGATGAAGATGAAGAGGAAGAGGAAGAAGAGAGAAGGTTAATGCCCACTCGCAGTTTATAATCTCCTCCTCTGCTCCCACCTGGGGTCTCCGTCACACTCTCACCATCACTCTGGTCTGATAGCGTCTCGTGGCTCCTCTTTTCACCTGAAGAGGGCGCTTTTGCTTTAAGATTCAGGAGAGAGGACAGGGACGTGCTGCGGTATGCTACCACCAGAACTTCTTCTATGTGATGGACGGAAGTCTGAGACAGACAGACAGACAGACAGAGAGAGAGAGAGAGATTAAAACCGAACATATTTTTTCCATCCTCTAACTGAAACCTTCAGAAAATAACAATGAATCCATCGGTCAGCACACAAACAATCAGTGACTAGTTTTCACATGTGATTAATTGTCCAAGTCCTTTTTGTGACTGAACACCTGGTTACAGCTCCTCACGTGTGAGCTGTTGCTTCTTTTCTCTATTTTATACTGAACTGAATACCTTCGGGGTTTGTTGCTATTGTGAGCAGTTTAAGGATCCTTCTCTAGTAACCTGATGTGCATTTATGACTAATTTATTAATTTTTGACTTTGTGACTAATTTATGGAAACTGAAAGGCTACAGCTGACCACTAGTTTTATTATTAAATTCTTACTGAGGTCATAGTTAGTGTTGTACCTGTACAAAGTTAAAGGTGTGTTTTCTCCTCCATATTTACATACACAAAGGGGTGTGGGGGGGTTACAGCACTCCTCACTATAATGTAGCCCATCACAAACCCATCACAGCGTATGACCAATACTCAAACATAACAACTAAATTAAAGCTCAATGACAGAGTCAACAGAGTCTGAACTATGAAGGCATCATGAAAGCACACGTTACAGCAGAACAGTTGAATTGGATTGTACAGGTGCACTTAAGAAAAGGGCCAGTGGGTGTAGTTGCAGACCCCTTTACATTCACATACATTTTGGTCAGTGTTTCATTGGAGAAACAGCGGAATAACTGATGAACTCCTGATCCGCCATACTGTAAAGAAAGGAGCAAACATCAATGTTGGGATGGGACTCCAAAAATTCGGGACAGTCCTGAATTACGAGCAGTTGTCCCGACTCCTGTCTGGTTTGTCCTGAAAATTAGACCTAACATGAGTTTTGATTATAGCCTAATTAATCATTAAATACTGATCGCTGTGTAGTTCTCTTGCTCCAGCCGGGGTTGCAGGTTATCTGTAGCCTACATTGTGTCAACAGTGTTGTTACAGCCATAAAGTAACACGTTGTTTTCTTGTGGTTTTGGAATTTACAGTCACGAGGACAGGGAAAGTGTAGCTTCAGGCAGCCATGGCGGAGAGATCTGTCACGCGCGTTGCACAGCACTGATGAAATGAATAAAATAAAATAAAAATTAGGGAAAAGATCATGATTTACCCGCTGTTACATATCCACAGTTGTTGTGTTTTTCCTAATGACAGACAGGTGACTTCATGAACATATATAATTAATCTTAGCGTGTTTTGATTTTCACATGTGTTAATGTCAATTGAACATGAAGTTGATGCTTCGTCTGCACGTTACGCTGTACCTTGAGTTGTTGTTGTACAATGGCCTTAAGCTTGACAGAAGCTGACACTACAGAAACTTAAGTGTCACCCAGGGAATGAAAGTAGCACCCGCAGGTAACGTGGTGGTGGGTGAAATCGGCGGGCCACCTGCCGCTTTGACGGACAGCAAAAATGCACAACAGAACGACACGTGTAGTGAGGTAAGTGCATTGTGGCGATCGGCGCCTGCGTCACACACACAGCCACCAGTCAGCTCAGGGAATATCTGTGAAACGGCGTTTGCAACCAAAACGCGTAACAGAGGTCCAGTCTGTCCCGAGTTACAGTCTGGTTACAGCCAGTGCGCTGCTGACCAGCATCGGATGCTGAGGGGGAACTCCGGTGTTGTCTGAGAATTACTAAGCTCGTCTATTTAACAAGAGAGGCGACACTTGGTTTTATTTTCGTTGGCCAACGTTTGAATTGAACCTCAAACTGAGTATTTTTTTGTTTGCTTACTGGGATACAGAAAGATGGACTCCTGGGAGATTTGAACTGAGATAAGGTAGCATTAATTAGTGGTTGAACTGTGAGTTTTGTATCGAGCGCTTACTGTCACACACTGTGGTGAACTGTGTTTTTCTTGTGGTCTGTATAGGTAGACTGACCTGATGATATTATATCATTTCATGTCATGACGTGACTCAAATTATCTTATCTCATATTATTATAATCTGATACTTCTTCTCCACCATTGCTCATAATAATTCTACTTAATTCATCATAACACAAGGAAGAACAGTGTAGTTCTATCTATCCAATATTGTGTTGGTCACACTATACACTGATTTACTGCTTGTCCATTTTGACTAACACAGAAGGTAAAGAGCTTAAAAATTAATCGCATATTAAATTGCAATATTGATTTTAAAAAATCGCAATTACATTTTCCAAAATCGTTCAGCCCTAATTGACTCTGAATGTACCGGTAGCCCTTCCTGCTGTCTCTGTCCCCCCTGCTCAGAGACACCTCAGCTCTGTTTGGACTGTGCCTCTGCTTAAAGTCTGTGCAGAGGAGTCAAAGTTCACGTTTGTGGCCTTCTGCCTGATCACAAGTGTTTTCAGTTCAGTCTTCCACCTCGGTGTTTTGTCGATCTATGCTGCCTTGCTGAAAAATGCTACCATAGCGCAAATCGATAGACTCAACTCTACTCGGCCCTGCTCTGTTTTCCATTGCAGATAGTACCCAGAGATAGTACGTAGCTTGTCGTCATAGCGACGCCACACACCAGCGATCCACACAGCTTTCTCTTTTTTAAGTTAAAACGTTCAGAATGTAAAGACAGATAAGCGGTATGAAAACCTTCCAGCTGTGTTTTCTGACGGCGGGAGCAGAGGGCTCTGTGAGCGGGCGGCTGGCCGGCCTCACACGCTCCTCCCGCGGGTCACAGCAGGCTTCCCCTGCAGCAAACTGTAAAATATAAACCTTTCTGTTGCTGGCCTCTGTCTGGTGCAGCAATGATGATGCAGTGAATAGTGAATATTCTCTCTGACCAATCAGCAGTCTGTCGTGTTTTCACGTTCAACGAGCTGTTTTCAAGCGTTTCAGAGCAGAGCTTTCTGTGGGAGATGGGAACTCCCTTTGGGCTGGACTTTGGGCTTTTTCACTTTGCAAATCTGTTACATGCACAAAAAAGAGAAATAACTCAATAAAAGGAGAGGGGAAAAGCCAAAAAGCAGAATACCACCTCTTTAAAATCTTATTTGACTGTAAGGTTCCACGCAGTGCACTGATTCACGGTTAGTGCACCACACAGAAAATTCAGGTTTAGCCTAAGGACAGGTGAGTAGGTCGTTGTCTAGTAACACTTCAAATGAAAAATGCACCACACTGCTTTTCCTTTTAAATTGTAGGCTTCAACAAAATGGCAGTGGGGATAGCATCTTTTGAACAAATCATTACCACTTGATTGTTCAGTTATTTATTTGTCACAAAGTAACAGCTGACCGAGCAGGGATTCCATGTCTAGTTCAAAAACTCTTCAGCAGCTGTCATCAAAGCCTGACTTCAACGCATCAATTGCTCGCGTGTATGTGTGTGACATTTAACAAAAATGAAGCTGTACATGAACATGTCTCCCACCACTGGAAATTCTGCTGAATCACATTAAAGGAAGTGAGAGCTGGGTGCGCAACAGTGTTCTGGAAAAGAAGCTGCTGTTGGTGAGCAACCAGTAGCCTCAAGTCACTTTCAATATTCACATTTCATTTATTGGCCACATCCAAGTCTTGTGTGAAGGGAAACCCCCTCTATATCTTGCTGGCAGTCTGGCTGACTGAAGCCAATTAATAATGGAACATGAAACCACGCTTTATTTTATAAAAAAAGCATGTTCAAATCCCCCTCGCATGAGCCAAACACCACAAATAATAAAAGGTTAACTGTAACTGACGCCCACAGCCCCAACAGCTCTTCTATCCCAGCACGCTGCAATCACACAAAGCCAATGGCTGATATGAATGGAAAGTTTCCAAAGATACTGGTGACTACCAACTGAATAATGGTCTCACTTTACAAAGTGTCACCCCCCCTTTCTTTTTCAGGTTCATTTGTTCAGTGGCACAGCCATTCAGTATTTCATCTTAACACGGCAGACCCATTTAAAAATACTGTGGCAGTACAGCAGCATAATTATTATTAATCACAATCAATTTTATAAATTATCTTTACACACCTCTTTATGAGACCCATGTGATCAGTATCTTGTGTAAAAATAACTTAATCGTAACAAAGTGCTTAGTAACAATACTCACAAACTTGACAATATACAGTAAAAAAAGGGTTAATTTGAGGGTTCTGCGCAGTATCTTAGCTGTTCCTAGGACTGCACTCTTCTGGACAGAGACCTCTGATGTTTTACCTGGAATCTGCTGTAGCCACTCTCCCAGTTTGGGGGTCACAGCCCCCAGTGCTCCGATTACCACTGGCACCCCTCGGCCTCCCACGTTCTGCTACCCAAGGTAAGGGTGCTCTGATCGATTGGTCACTGATTTTAATAGACTGATAATGGCTTTAACTACTTTGATCAGTGGTCTCTACTACTACGGTCAACAGTCTGGGCAGTTTTCAAAGCTAGCTCGCACCTTTTTAGACAGGAAGCGATTGATGCGCCCAGTGAATCATTTACAATGAGAGTTGAGCAGAAATCCAACAAGAGGAGCGATAAGTGAAAATGTCACAGTGGTCATGCTCATCTCACAGACACGCCGCCCACTACCACAGTTTAATTGTCTTGACCCACAGCGCATCAGGCAGAGAGACACTGATCCTTCAGTGAGTTTCTGATGCAAAGAGAGAGGGGTCCTTTAGCAGCTCAGGGGCCACTCAAACAGAGACCTTCTGCTACGTTCGCACCTTCAGTCCAGACCATTTTTATATAAAGTCTATGGTCCAGACCAGACAGAACGTGTTTATGTAGTAAGAGCCACCTTTTTTAAAATTTTATTCAATTGTCAGTGAGCGTTCTGCGTGCCGTTTATGCGCCCTGGGCGCTTCACATTTCACGCCTTGCGTTTTTGAAGGAGTGCTCTGAGCGCACAGAGTTGGAAAAAAATTCTAAAAGCGCTCTACATAATTCGCATTCTAATGAATGGAGAAACGGGTCCTCAGTTGTGCTGACGGAAGTTTACAGTTGCTTGGATTGTCCTCGACTCACCATAAAATAAACCTTAAACCGACCATCATTAAGACAAAGCTACTGACCAGCTGGTGATACTACCAGCAGTGTCTCCTCCTTCTGAGGGTCTCATGTAGCCTACTTACACAGATCTCCGTTTCCCTGTTTGTAGCCTACACTGCTCACCCTCAAACAATGCCATCAGGCGCCCTCTGTTTGTCAATTTTATTAAAGCAGATGTTTTAAGCAACAAAAGACACAGACCTGAGTTGTGATCAAGTTTCTGCTAATATGACCGTGTATTTGTAAAGCCTCGTTTTTATTTCAGTCGATTAACCAAACGACAAATTTTGTGTATTCTAAAAAATAAATAAATTGCCTATTACTCAATTAACATACCAATTTATCCTAAATAAATATCAAAAACATGTCTAATCAATAACTAAATACTTTATTCAATCATCGTGATGAAGCACATTAGAATAATGACAATGGTAGCATAACTTAAAATTAATCAAATAACCACGTCACTGATGACAGATGAATAGAGTCTGCAGACACACAGCAGCAGAACACTGTGGAGTGTTTTTACAAGAGCAGCTAACACTGACAGCCTCAGTTTACAAGCTGTTAGCCAGTCAGAGACAAACCAAAGCTAAAAGTTAACTCACCCTGCGTTCACGATTAGGTCATTTTCATCAATCAAGTTTCCCTCTGCTTTCCCATAAAAACTAAACGGAAAAATACTGAAAAATCTCTGCAGCGCTGTCTACTGAGGTCTGAACAGAACCATGAATTTGGTGCTCCTTGTTAAAAGAGGTAGGCTTTTTCCATCTCGTGGCATGGCATCAACATGGTATTGTCTATTTTTTCATGTCTGTGATGTCTTATCATTTTTTGATCAACTAATGTCTATACCACCACTGGCAGATCAGTCCAACCTTATCAAAGACAAACTCAGTACATCAACAGTCCACCTGCAGTTCATTCCTGTAACTTTACTCAGAAAACATACAGTGTGAACTGCTTGCTGTCACACTACAACAGCCGATTTATTGTACGGAAAATGAACGAATGCATAATGGTCATACATGGGAAACTTGATCATGCTAAACTACCACAAGAGATTGTTTTATTTTATAAGCTCTTTTCCAGATCTAAACCTGGTCCCTTATGTGATTATATAATGTTCAGAAGTTTTAAGTCCACTAATAGTCAATCTTTGATTATCGTTGATTTAAAAACATGCTTATTAAAAGCTGTTAATCACAAATGAGTTAACTATCAACAGCCCAGGTGCCTCTGAGGAACTGCTACCATAAGTACTGCTCGTCTCCACCACCCACTAATTTCAACAATGACTTCTAAGTATTACTTACCAGGACCAGTGGCAGAGGCCTCCCCATTAGACAGATGAAACCGGTACTGATCAGCAGGGCCACAACAACCACAGCAGACATCACCAACAAGCACAACACGGCTGAGATCAGCTGGTCTGCGGAGAAGAGAGGGGTCCACACATAAACCCAGACAAACATTTCTTCATCATCAACATTACTGAACACCACAAGTTAGAGTAGCAGTGGTGACACAATTCTTATTCCACATTACAGGTATTCAGCGAAGAAAACGATTATTTTGAAGCTAAAACTCTCTGTGGGTTGTTGCCTTTTCCAAAAGTGAGAGGTAAAAGAAATGATAGCACGCAAGGCCTGAGAGAAGTCATATCGTCCAGCATGTTACACTGACTTTCTGGTCCAGATGTGTTCATAAACAAGACCAGTAATGCACTGGTTTCTATTGAATCCATGTATGGTTCGTTCTTTCATTATTTCGTTTCAAAACCAAACAAAAAAACCAAGTCGTTTCTTGGTTTTAAAACCAAAACGGAAAAACAGTAAAGAAAAAAAAACAAAACAGACATCTGTTTTGTTTTTCTGTTTTAAACCCATAACTGAAACCTACACGTGCGCCTGTTGTTTGCAACAGCTGTGGTCTGCATTGGGCTATATACAGTCTATGGTAGGGCTTCATCCAACCAGAGAGAATGATCACTGACCGCCCACAGCGCACCGGCTCGCTCCCGTGAACTCCTCTCCCTCGCCCTGTACACTACAGTGTCCCGCTCCCTAACCAATAGATCTAATATGTGTTGTGTTGCCAGTGGAACCGGCGCACTGGACAGTCAGTGGTCGTTCCCCTGGCTGGATGAAGTTTGATGCTCCTGTTTTAGACATAGCCTAATCCATGTGCCTACTGCAGCTGGAGGCTCTCCGCAGTGCCGCCTAACTTTCTAAATTCTTCCATCTCATGAAGAAAATAAAGGTCAGGTGGAAACAGTGTAGAGAAGCTGAACAAAAATTACCGAACCTTTTAATCAGTGTATGATTCGTTAATATACAACTCGCCTAATTAACTAATAACAGTTCATGTTTGCTGTGTACCATTGGATGTACTGACAACTATCACTGAATTAATTTGATACTGAAGAAATCTTAAAAAACGGAGGATTATAACTTTTGAGGTGTTGCTAGTGAGTTACAAACTGAACGGTGAGCCTCCTGTTTTTCAAACTAAAAACCCACCTATGTTGATGTTTAAGCTCATCTTAATTACATTTAATCAGGCACCGTCCTCGCCCAAATGTATCTGCTGCAGGTTTATCAAGTGTAACACACAAAGCTACACTAATCGGACTCATTAAATATTAAAATCAATATTTTTCTTTTATGGGTTTAAAACAGAAAAACAAAACAGATGTCTTGTTTTTCATTTTAAAACAGAAAAACCAAAACACGACTTGTTTTTTGGTTTTGAAACGAATTAATGAAAGAATGAACCACACAGATTCTATTGGTGCTGACAAATTGTTTTTTCATCATCATCGTGATATGAACATGCGCGAATAACACAAAAGTGCCTGAAACTCGATGAATAAGTAACTAATGTTCTTTAGGAATGGCACTGAAACACAATTTCAAACTGGCCCAGTGGCTAAAGACCCCCTGACTGGCTGATGTCTGAGTTCTTCATTCTTTCTAAACATCACTCGGTATTTTGATGTTAGGAATATATTATATAAGCATACTAAAGGACAGCACCCAGCCAGCCACAGCCTGTTCATCCTGCTGCCTTCTGGGAAGAGAGATAGAAGTTTCTGCTGCCGCACCACCAGACTGCAGAGCAGCTTTTAACCCCCCAAGCTATCAGACTCTTAAACTCTAATTCATCCTCAGCACTGCTCCAGTGATAATAGTTTATTTCTGTTTAGCATTTTTATAATTGCTTCTGTATTGATCTATATTGTCTGCTATGTAGCAGAAGGGAGTTAGAAAACTTAATTTCACGCTATAACCTGTTGTATTGTGACAAACTAAATCTACCTACCTATTTTAAATATTCAGTTCTAATCCTGTTCTGTAATATGCACACTTCATTATCTGTTCATTTATTTCAAGTCATATTGTCATAGCAATATTTAACAATGTTGCACATGTCAGATTTTCCTCATTTTGTGCAGGCCTAGTTTACATATCCATCAGTCATACTGAGACTGTGATTTACTTGTGTGGACATGTGAGTAATTCATTCACAATCAGATCAAAAACTCGGTTTGACACTAAATATTAAGGGAAACAAATGAGTGTTTTTTGAGGGTTCTGTCTGATAGCAGTATTGGGCCCATTGTTAGAGTCAAAATATGATAAATACATCAATAAAACAACAACAACAAAAATAGACTCAGATTTTTTAAATGAAAATGAAATATGAAGACAATAGAAGACATCATGTCTTCTAAATACAATGGAATGGTCCAAAATGATGAATTTTTTTTTCCATTACACAAACCTAGGGAAAACGCTACTCCGACACACGAGTACAGGCCGGCGTTAAGCCATGCTTGTGGACATTCAGGACTTGGTATTAGTACTATTATTAGATAGATCTGAATACTTGTAGCTTGTAGTGAGCTGTACCTGCAGTAAAGATGGCAGGGGTGACAGCACACACGCCTTGGCTGTAGTTAGACACCCTGGGCTCCAGGCTGTCTGAGAAGCAGACTGCAACGCAGTACTGTCTGCCACGGGCCAGATCCGTCACATTCTTTGTTCCCAGATTTGTGTCCATAAACTGCACACAGAGAGACCACAGACAGCTGTTAGATAAGCACAAGAGTCAGAGAACAGCACGACAAACACAGCATTACTCCCATCAGTGAAACCAAGGAAGCTGTGTTTACACTGTTGAGATCATGTATGCAATTTAGTATTCACGTGACGTCACATATCAAAGGAAAGGCTCCCCTGAAGGGCAAAAAAGAGGTTATTTTCCGCTGCCTGCCAACCAATAAGCAAGCGTCACACTGTTACTTTGCTGGAAATGCTTGATGGTTGTTGTGCTTTCAGGTGCACTAATTGATTCCCCACAAGGTAAAAGTAAACATTACCGCAGTCGAGCGGCGGCAGGGACCTGTCAGTTTGTAACGGTAGAAATGCGGCAGCGGATGCTGTAACGTTATATGGATCAGATATGCCCAACACTTGCAGTCTTTCTTCTTCTTAAGTTGAAAGGGCCAAATAAAATTTGACTGCTTTTGCGGCGTCTCTGCGGGGGAGTCGCGGTGTGAGCCGCTATGTTGGTCTGTTGTTTTGCCCTCCAGGTCACCGCGCATGTCACGTGACTGAAAACTAACTAATCATGTTATATCAGTTCTATACCAATTAACCTTTAATCCATTAACTAATCTTTACATGTCACACTTCCATCGTTCAAACGCATTTTATCTGACAATGCGCGAACACCACATATAAACACTGTATATATATATATATATATATATATATATATTAAAAAAAACACTGTTTATATAAATGAATTACCCAATTTAGATTTGGTTATAGCAGTCCCGGCTACCTACATAGCCCCACAGCTCACACGTGACATTTCTTAAACTCAACACAACTTACAGTTAAGAAATTTGGGGGCACTTTATTTAGACTGGTAATTTTCTTATTATGAGATCAGCCTTTGGTGTTAAGCCTTAAAACTCATGGACGTGTTACTAAAACCTGACATAATAGAGGACATCTTCTCACCTGTAGAAACACAGCCACATCTACACAGCATGCTCACTTAAATGTATGAATCATGAGGGCACAAGTGGATCAAACTCATGTATAAAACTGTGCCACTCTATGTACAGTACCTGGGCTTTGTCCCCACTGTGGCTCGTGATCTTGAGTTTGTACTGCAGAGCCTCATAGCTCTTCCTAAGGTGTTCCAAGGGAGGCTGGAGGTCCACACAGAGGCCGCTGCCACAGGGAGTCACAGTCAGCAGCGGCAGGTCCAGCTGAGCTGAAGGTAGACATGGGGACAACTTCCATCACATGACAGAGGAAGTGCTGTAGTTACCTACAGGGATGACTATGAAACTATGAATCACAAGCTCTTGTTACTGTAACAAAGTCATTTTTGTGTACTTGTTCCCAAAATTAGTTTAGTTTTATCGAGTATATTTTATTTCAATGTATTGTACTTTGCTACATTCAAGTTGCATCCATTACAGAGTAAAAACAACGTCCTGATAAACCTTGTCAGAATGAAGCAGAGGAGAACCAGCAGGAGGGCAGTGCTCCATGTCCAGAGAGGGGTCAGTAAGCACTAGGCTGACTCAGGAGTTCCATGTTCTAAATGGAAACGTGCACTTACTGTTTAGTAAGAGAAGAAGTAGCTCTCCATTCTATGTCCCCTTTACTCAACATCTTCTCATTATAATACAGTGCCACTTACTGTCTCTGATGGGTTTAAATCGTCTCTGGACTGCTTTTGAAGCCTGCGAGTCCAGCAGTGCTGTAACATTGATGATGTAGACCTGTTCTGGTTTGGAGCAGGCCTCTGTAAGGTTGCAAACCAGAGGGTGCTGGACACGCTCACACCCAGACACAGGTACATAGGAAGTTCCCCTTCAGGACCAGAGCAGGGAAAGAAGCAGACTTTAGGGGGTCAAAAAAACCAACAAGTCCTGATTTTCAAGTTAAAGGCTGACTGCAGCAGTAGGCTTCAGGTGTTTTTTACTGAGAAGCCACCACTGGCTTCACAGTAAAATGCAGTTATTATGAAACCCTTGCAGAACGTGGTGAAGAATCAGATGTAGCTTTACACTTTCTGCTGTGAACAGAGCAGAACACAAAGCGCCATTTAATGTGGATCTCACGTTATGCGATACCTGATGAGCTTAATATTGTCTATGTCAAGCACGACATGGTGCTTCATGCATTAAACATTAGAACCTGCTTGGAGCACTAGATGGATAGAAAGACTTGCAACAACTTGATACACTTGTCTGTGACATCTCTGGGTGTGTGTGTCTGTACAAACATTTGCAAGGACGCTGTTAGTACAGTTATGGGCACAAACACAGATGAAACCCACCTTTCTGTGTTAACTGAGACATGGTAGTAGACTCCTGGGGGGGTCCCTGGTCCAGGCTCCCATTTCAGCATATGACTGAAATGGACTGATGTCAGATCCAGGTTGACAGGCTGGGGGAGTTCACTCACAGCTGGAATCCAAATGAAGAGAACAGAACATGGATATGTACTGTATGTATGGTACATTTCTATTCAGTCAGACTGGTTTTTGTGTTTGCCTGGGGGCAAAAGCATGAGTTAGATGGCTTGGCTACAGACACCACTGCAGAAGCCTGTCAGTGAGGTGCTGCGGAACGATGTTAGCGCTCCCCCTTGTGAGTTTTGCAAAGGTGGATAAAATGTTAGCCATCATATTTTCTAAATGTTTCACGTTTCTCCTAAATGACAGCTTATCTAATCTAACACCATTACTGGCTACTGTTGAATATATATTGTCGTACTAGTGCTGGTAAATTAACCTCAATTAAACATCTGGTTTCTTCAACTTTCACTCAGGAGTAAAAATCAGAAACTTGAAAGAAATAGTGATTTGTCATTTATCGCAATAATTACCGATATTGAATGATGAGAAATTTTTTATGGTGATAACATTTTTGCCCAGTCCTGTGTTATACTGTGTAGACAATAATGAATGACAAACTGCACCCCGCTCTCCCTTAAACACCAGTCACACCTATCAGGAAATCTACAATGTATGTTTCTATTTCATTTATTAATAAAGCTTCCATCTAAAACAACTGGTTACTGGCTGAGATACTATATAAGATTGTAGTCTGAAGGAATAATGGAATTATACATGACTCTTCTTTGTTTTGATATCGCTCGACCACTATTAATAAGAATTTTAAGTACTTCTTCTTTCGTGCTAAGCCATACTGTGTTATCCACAGATATGCCACTATTAAAGGGGAACCTGACAGTCTGCAGACGAAGCATCAACTTCACACGTTACGCTGTACCTTGAGTTGTTGTTGTACAATGGCCTTAAGCTTGACAGAAGCTGACACTACAGAAACTTAAGTGTCACCCAGGGAATGAAAGTAGCACCCGCGGGTAACGTGGTGGTGGGTGAAATCGGCGGGCCACCTGCCGCTTTGACGGACAGCAAAAATGCACAACAGAACGACACGTGTAGTGAGGTAAGTGTATTGTGGCGATCGCCCCTGCGTCACACACACAGCCACCAGTCAGCTCAGGGAATATCTGTGAAACGGCGTTTGCAACCAAAACGCGTAACAGAGGTCCAGTCTGTCCCGAGTTACAGTCTGGTTACAGCCAGTGCGCTGCTGACCAGCATCGGATGCTGAGGGGGAACTCTGGTGTTGTCTGAGAATTACTAAGCTCGTCTATTTAACAAGAGAGGCGACACTTGGTTTTATTTTCGTTGGCCAACGTTTGAATTGAACCTCAAACTGAGTATTTTTTTGTTTGCTTACTGGGATACAGAAAGATGGACTCCTGGGAGATTTGAACTGAGATAAGGTAGCATTAATTAGTGGTTGAACTGTGAGTTTTGTATCGAGCGCTTACTGTCACACACTGTGGTGAACTGTGTTTTTCTTGTGGTCTGTATAGGTAGACTGACCTGATGATATTATATCATTTCATGTCATGACGTGACTCAAATTATCTTATCTCATATTATTATAATCTGATACTTCTTCTCCACCATTGCTCATAATAATTCTACTTAATTCATCATAACACAAGGAAGAACAGTGTAGTTCTATCTATCCAATATTGTGTTGGTCACACTATACACTGATTTACTGCTTGTCCATTTTGACTAACACAGAAGGTAAAGAGCTTAAAAATTAATCGCATATTAAATTGCAATATTGATTTTAAAAAAATCGCAATTACATTTTCCAAAATCGTTCAGCCGTACTCCAGAAGAATCTGCGCTAAATCTGATAAATGCAAGAGACATCACTTGAGTTAGAGTAGGCTGGAGCTCAAAAGAATCAGATCCCTGTAGCCTGCTCCTCATCTCTGCTTGAGGCTGGAGGCTCCAGGGTACCTTGGCCCCTATGTAGCATGACACTGGAATCTCCAAAATGTTTTGATTCTCAAAATAGGTCTTCAGCACAACATTTAGACTTTGTTTAATTAAATACTTTTTAGAAGCGTCATTCAGCAAGAATGAGAAATGACATATTTAAAGGTTGTGGTTCATATTGTGCGTGCTTTTCAGTGAGCGAATACTGATGTGTCTCTGTTTTACGTATTTTAATCACTCTGATGCTACCTGTTATAATGTCAACTGACTGTCAGCTTAAATCTTTGCAATAAGACTCATATCATCACCTGACACTCTAACGTTACTCACCTGGCAGGACCTGAAGCAGCCATGTGAGCATCCAGATGAGAGCAGTCATGGTAGCCACACCATCTCTGCTGCACCACCATCAGCTTTCACTTTCTGCCATGACAAATCTGCAGTTACTGACTGCGACCTTTACTCTCACATATGTCGAGTGCTTCAATTTATGCTCCGTTTATTATACTAGCGTTGAACAAAAGGTGCCAAGTCAGTGATGAATGTCACAGAACTTCACTCATGTCTGACAGCTATGTATAATGTAACTGTTTGAAAAGCTTCGTCACGACTTGTAACCGAACACTTAGCTTACATTAAAGTTGAGGTAATACCAGTTACCTTTTATATTGTAACTCTAAATTTGCTAATTATCCTTACTTTGCCTCTGTACCGACTTGGTTAGCTTATAACAACGTTACATCCACTAGAAGACACTTCCAAAACAAAAATTTAACGCTGAAGACAGATAACACGCTCTAACGTTACTCTGCCCAGAAACGTTAACTTAACGTTAGTTGTTTTTCTCAGGACGCCCACTCGCCGCAAATGTCAACGTTATCTAGTTAGCTAGCTAACTCACTAGCACTGACTTTGTCAACATGTAAACTACCAAACTAACTTTAAGCTTTTATTAAGTCAAAAGCTACATACTGTTGAATACATCTAGTAGTATATTTGATATCAGAGCTACCTGTCCTCAGAAGCGTTTCCATGTTCCTCAACTCATTTCCGATAATCACAGGAAGACACTGCGGCTGCTCCTGGTGCCTTTACGTAACTCTAGTGATGTTGTATTCGCATTTTACACCACAATGTGGCTTTTGGCACAATGCCTGCACACTTCATTAATAATGACACAACAACAATACTAATAGATTTTCGGGAACAGGTTGCTTTAATTTGCAGATCCACTGTTAAAGCAGCTCCATCTATATGGAAGTATGAGGTTGTATATCGGGAATGTATTTAGGTTGAAAAACTGACATATACAATTCAAGTGGTAATATACAACATAAAAAACATAAGGCTTACACATAAAAAATGAAGAGACAGCATACATTCCCAGCTGCTTTTCCCCAAGAAGCGTTTCCCCATCTCGGATAACACGGAAAAAAATATCACAAAAACCTTTAGCTCCTGTTGGGGTCTTGCTGTTAGAGATAATTGACATTTGTACAGCAGTTCGTGAAGGCAGCGTCTCATGAGGCTGTTGGTAGGAAATCACGTGACCTAGCAGAACACAGGGGAGGGAGGCGCAGTACCATTTTAAACTTCAGCTGTCATACTCACACAGAGGATGGTTGTTTGCGGTATTGACTGATATTGTGATATGAATTACAACAAGGAGAATGATCATTATTCTCATTTTCACTGAAAAACATATTTGAATTAATTACGGTGTGATTTTTGTAAGGTTCTGTACCAAACAAAGACGTTTTCTTAAGTCTGTAGAATATGACATGTAGGCCAGGGCATCTCTGCCACACAATATTTAGCCTTTTTAACAGAACAAGAGCACAGATGTAAATAATAAAATGATGGCTGCATTCTATTTATCTGCTTCAGTTTTTTGGGCCCTGGTATTGTGTCATGGCTTACTGGGACTCCTGAATATAAAAGAGCTAATGTCAATGTTATTACACATATTAACACATGTGCCTTTCCTAATATGACAGGCCAACATGTCTGCTGTGAGGAAGAACGATATCTCCCTTAAATGTGGGGTGATGACTTTGGCTTACATGAGGCATCTTTATTTGTTTGGCCTTTCAGGCAGTGCTGTATCATTAAGAGGGATATTTCTGATCTGGTGATTTTACTTTGCATAAGGTGAATGGGCGCACAAATATAGCAGCTTGCAAAAGTAAACAAAACAATGAGGACTGAGGATTTGCAAGAACCACGTGCTCATCACCTACAGTCAGGACTTATAGTGGAGACTGGTAAATACTACAGAAGTTTAATATTGAGGCATGTCAGCATTTTTTCAAACATTAGCAAAATGCTGTTTGTTTCCATTTCATCTTTCAGACTGATGATGCAGATAAATATTTAGCTTTCCTTAACTTTTCTGGCATTGTACTCTGAGATTTGGTAATTCAAAAATGGACTGGTCTTGAAATACACTTTCTTTCTAAATAACTGAATAGAAGTGGTAATAAGCAAAAGACTGGATGATGAGTTAATTGAAGCATTATGCATCTCTGCTGCCTTCAAAAACTGTCAAAATGCAGGTGGCTGCTATGACATTATAGCTGCAGGGGAAATGTGTTGATGTGCTGAGGCCTTGCCTTTCCTTATGAATAAAACAACAAAATCAACCTCCCTAACTTCTGCTAATATTTCAGTTGGACTTTTCCTTTAATAAAAAGCAATGTACCTATTGGGAAGAAATTCATTAATGATACTCATACATCAACATATCATGTGTGTCTTATATATTCCTCCTCCTCCTGTGTCTAATCATCACACCAGTCAGACAAAGTGTCTGCACGTCTGCCTTCAAACCCAGTAAAGTCTTCTTGTGTAGGTAACATTAATGGCACAGATGTTTGATCATCTGACTCAGTTGGAAAGTCTGTGTGGCTCAAAGTCCACTTTAAACCCGTGGGTAGTAAAGGCTCCTGATTGGATGGTTTCAAAAACTCTGTGAGAGAGTCTTCTGTATTCTCCACTTCTTTCTCCTTTTTCTCACACACAGCCAGTGCAGCGAGGGTGACAGAGAACAGATTGATATTGCCTGAGCTGTCACACACCTCCACCTCCTCCTTCCCCTCCTCCTCCTCCTCCACCGTATCTATGACATGCCCCTGGACCACCCCAGGTATGGAAACCTCTGCTCCTTCACCTTTGGCCTCATCTTGATCAAGCGCCACATGTGTGACCTTAACCTCAAACTCTGCGTCCGGTACCTCCGCCTCCATTGTCAAAACAGAGTCCCCCGGTGCACCCGGCCCGCTCTTCCCCGCCACATAAACAGAGTCCCGACAGGAGCTTTCACCTGAGGAAAGCTGTTGAGGTCTATCCATGTAGACATGTGTCCCTTCCTCTTCCCCCTCCCCCTCCGCGTTAGCGCCCCTGGTGGCAGGTTGTGGAAGAGTGGGATTGTTGTGCTTCCTCCGTTTGTCGCTCTCTGAGCTGATGGAGATCGGATCAGGGATTATTCTCTCTGTTGTCAGGATGTTGTCTCGGTACTGAGTCATCTAGAGTGGCAAACAGGGAACAGAGAGACAAAGACAGAGGAGAAAGTAAGTAGTACAGTGCCAACTCAAAGATGCACCATCCCTAAACAGTAAGCTCTCATCTATTCACCCAAATGAAGTCATGGTGCTGGCTGAGGTCTAATGCTGGTTTCACACACGCCATGCCAGTGCTGGGGCAGAGGGAGTGGTTTTTGTGCCAGGTGGAGTGCTGCCGGCGATGCGAAGTGCGCGACCACGTGATAAATCGCAGGCAACGCTTCACTGCGCAAGGTGGATTTTTTTTGTCTTTTGACCGTGAAATTCACATGAGGCTGTGTTACGATCGCCGTTCAGCGTTCAGACTGTCCGGATGTCATCGACGGCTTCTCGGAGAGTTGTGTGCAGAGGACAGGGACATCGTGCAGAGCGGAGGGACAGCTGCTGAGCAACAGGGAGTTCTGGAGGAGACCCGGTGGCGGCGCCGGATCTTCGCGCTGCATTCTGCATTGTTAACCGAGGCGTCTACTGGAGGGAGGAGCTCAGAGTGAACTGCATTTATGAATTAAGATTTTGGAAATAAAACATTGATTTATCTTCACTCGTGCTTCTGCAGTGAGCTACTGTGTTTCCAGCCCTCACTGTTGTAACTGTAGCTGTCCTGTGTGAAGGTATCATTGTCAACAGTGTTGAGAGTAGAGCAATGTATTGCTTTTTGCGGTTACGCAGTAATATAATTTAAAGAATTGGTAATATTATACCCGTTACAATCATGCGTTACAACGCATTTTAACCAGAAATTAATTGGTGTTTTTATTTTTTATTTTTTAATAATTCACCAACACTGAGAAGCTGCTGTCAATCCATCCTGACTGATCCTGCCGAAGTGTCGGGAGAATCAAATAACCAGTGACGTTATGCTGCTGTACCTCGTGCGTAAATGCAACAGTGTCTATCGTAATCGGGATACCAATCATCCTACCCCCACTCCCGCCCCCGCTATTAATCAGAGGGTTAATTTTTATGACAAAGACCTACCCGATCCGTGGATATAACTGCACATCACTAGAACCCACCTATGCAGCACATCTTACTATCAGAATCATGCATCCATTAAACAGCAGTGAAAGTAACTCAAAGTAAAGCAGAAGTAATGTAAAGCATTACAATTCAGAGACAGTAATATTGTAAAATAACTAGTTACTCTCAAATGACTAACTAGTAATTGATAATGTATTACATTTTGAAAGGAACTTGCCCAACACAGATTGTCAAATTGTGTATTTTGGCTGATTTAATTCGATTCTGACTGCAAAACATTCGCAGCTCAGTTTCTCCTGCATTAACATGTGTTTTTCCTAATTCAGATCAGATAACCAGATATAGATCACATGTTTATACTGACCTCCACTAACCTCCATTATATTGTCAAAAACAAATCTTGGGCGTGTTCAAAATTATAGCAGTGTGGAGCTCAATTTGTGAGGTCATGTTCCAGACATTGTTCAGAAGAACAGCTTTGATTAGAAAGTTGACTGGAGAGGGGAAAAGATATAAAGAAATGCAGAATAAAATGGCAACCAAAACCAGAAAGATGTGGAAGAAAACGGAAAACTACTACTCGAATGGAATGAAGAATAGCCTGAATGGCAAAGACTCAGCCAATGATCAGCAGGGAGATCAAAGAAGGTCTAAAATTACCTGTGAGTACTGTAACAATTAGAAGACGCTTATGCGAAGCCAAGCTATCAGCAAGAAGCCCCCGCAAAGTCCCATTGTTGCAAAAACGAAATGTGCTGAAGAGGTTAGAATTTGCCAAAGAACACACTGACTGGCCTAAAGAGAAATGGCGCAACATTTTGTGGACTGATGAAAGCAAGATTGTTGTTTTTGGGTCTAGGGGCTGCAGACAGTTTGTCAGACGACCCCCAAACACTGAATTCAAGCCATAGTACACTGTGAAAACAGTGAAGCACGGTGGCACAAGCATCATGATATGGGGATGTTTCTCATACTACAGTGTTGGGCCTGTTTATCACATACCAGGGATAATGGACCAGTTTGAATACATCAAAATACTTGAAGAGGTCAAGTTGCCTTATACTGAAGAGGAAATGCCCTTGAAATGGTTGTTTCAACAAGACAACAACCCTAAACACACCAGTAAGTGAACATCTTGGTTCCAGACCAACAAGATTAACATTATGGAGTGGCCAGCCCAATCCCCGGACCTTAATCCAATAAAAAACTTGTAGGGTGACATCAAAAATGCTGTATCTGAGGCAAAACCAAGAAATGCTAAGGAATTGTGGAATGTAGTCCAATCGTCCTGGGCTGGAATACCTGTTCACAGTTGCCAGAAGTTGGTTGACTCCATGCAACACAGATGTGAAGCAGTTCTGAGAAACAGTGGTCATACAACTAAATACTAGTTCTGTGATTGACAGGAAAGCTAAATCTTCAAGCATTTTTCAGTTTATACAGTAAATTTTTGAGTTTGTTAAGAAATGTGCAGACACTGCTATTTTTTTGAATAGTCTAATATTTCTTTTTCCTCACTTTCTGTGTAAGTAATGACAAATTGAATGATTTTTTTCCTTCATGTTTTGATTTTGAATAGAATGTGCAGTGTTCCCAATGCATTTGCATGTATAGAAATAAAGGCTTTTTCAAGGATTTGGGCCTTTAGTCACTTTTTTCAACACACTGCTATTGTTTTGAACACAACTGTAACTAAAAATAAGTGAGAAAATGTGTTTGTTTTAAATTGAAAGTGTGACAGAGAGAGAAACATTCATGCCAATAAAGCACACTGAACTGAACTGAGAGAGTGAGAGGTTTCTTACAATTAATGCTCTGTGCAGTTTCTGTTTACAAAGGAGTCCAGTGTAGTAGAGGCAAAACATGGAGGTCATCAGGACACCAACAACTAACATCAGAAGAGCAGCAACTGAACCTACAACAAGAGGGCCTGAAAACACACACACACACACACACACACAATGCATTAGCAAACTGGCATTTTCCTTGCCTGTGACGGTTTTGGTAACTTTCAGTTCCTACCAGTCATGTCCTTTTTAACAGATTTTAGTCCACCTTTTGTTTTAATTTATTTTACCTTTGGCATCATGGTGTTATTTTACTCCAGATAGTTATTGTATGGATCAATGTCCTGCCACATTATACCACACTTTATTCATTCAACTTAAAAAGAGACATCAGGTGCTTTTGGCAGACATCATGGTGCCCTTTATTCACAAAAATAGAGCTCATAATCTTCAAAACCATAACACTGTCACAGCCAGTGAAGACTGACCATTTGTTTTGGGGTGGGCCGGTCAGATTAATAATATCAATGTTTTCCACACATGGACTTTACTCAGGCGGGCCCCCAAGTATGTAAACGGCCGCCCAAATATACTTGGCAACCCATTTTTGTATTTTGTAGAGAAACACAGAGAGAGATGCTATCTGTTCCGTTCTAAGACAAGGACACTGCAGATATTTTACAAGCAGGTTTCGATAGGCTTCCTCATTAACAATCCTCATGCGGTGCACCTGTGGCTGAAAGCAGGACTGCAGGTGGAAATCGTGACTGCAGTGTCATTTAATTTCATAACCTAAGTTACTAGAAAAAGAAATAAACTGTCATTCTGTGGGAAACACTGATCACCTGGTCCCGAGATGGGCTGACCAACCCAATCAGAGGTTACTCAAATTAGTACATTCACTCAAAATTAGCGCTAGGAAGAAAACAGTGACACACAAACATACTTTGGGTTTGTAATTAACTCTACAGTAGAGTATGACAGTATCAGCTGACACACGGCACACAGACTCTACAACATACTCAGATGGAGAGTATATGTAAACTTGTTCTAAACGTGTGCTCTTTAAAACTATTGAGCATTGTTTGTCAGTCGCATACATGAAATGTTACAAATCTGTTACACACGGTGCTGCTTACATTATTTCACCATCTGTACATAAATGTAAGTAGTGAATGTGTGTTTGTGAGTGGGGATGTGTGGTAATGTGGGCTTGTGTGGCTACAGTGCTAGGGCTGAATTTGTGTCCCACTACGCCCCTGGTCGCAGCAGCATAAACATCAGCTCCAAAAGTTCAGCTCACCTCTGCTCCGCTCCACAATGCTAGTGAAGGTGCACTTCCAGTCAGAAGGCATGGTGTTTTTGTTCAGATAAGCTTCTGTGTGCACCTGCACACAGTACTCCATACCATACTGTAGGTTCTCAATTGTTAAATTCCTGTCTTTTGTTTTGAAGGACTCCTGCAGGTCAAATATTGAGAAATAACTTGATTAGAATTATTGCCATTTGAGCCTCACCTGCGACCCCAGCACTACTGTGTGATTAGGTCACAATATTGGATTTAAATCTTGGTTTTCGGCCTGGGCAGTCAGGCAACATCAATGGGATCAAAAAAACCTTTGAACATATGACAAAAAGTTTTCACCTTTCCCTTCCCGTTTACATGGGGAATGTGACCGAAACAGACTAACTGAGGTTGCACATGGCACCGTTTCCATTCCAAAGAGAAGTTCAGAATTTTAGTTTAAACATTTTTTGTCTGAGGCAGAGCTGCTCTGTGTGTAGAAATCATCGTATGGTGTTAAGTTAAAGCTGAAGGAGTGAGTGGATCTGTTATACAAATGGACTCATGGCAGACAATTTGATTTGTCAAAGCAGGAAAAGCACATGTAATTAATACTAATGATGGCTGCATCCAGTTCCAGGGCATGTGCATGTTCACCTCTCACTGACATAGCTTACTGGGAAACTTAATGGAATGGAGCCACATGAATGTTATTATTTAGACCTTGCTTTGACAAGCTGAAACGATGACTGGCAGGAAAAAAGTCTCTTGGCAGGTAGACATCACCTCAGTTAGTAGGTGCAGTATTCAAAATAGCAATCACACTAAGAAGCATTGCAAAAAAACAAACATGACAAGAATTTGAGATGAATAAAATTTTGAACCAAGTCCAATACTATATCATCCAACTTGCTGTAACTCCTTGCCTCTACCTACTCAGGTTTAACCTGACACACACCCGACCAGACTATTTCTTCTTCCAGAGACGCTCTGCTTTTGGAAAATATTTGGTTGACCAGTTGTATCTATATACAGGTTTAGAGGAGTTAAATTAAATGGAACACTTGTCACACACAATACAGTTCAGAATCATCAGAAGAAATGTGTGAATTAACATATTAACCAAATTGATTTCTTACCACTGTTGCGTTATGTTTCCTCCACGAGACTCTGAAATCAGCATCGTATAATTCCTGGATGTCAGGGATTCCTGACTGTCCGTCTGCCTCAGGCAGTGAAATGTTGATTTGAATGCAGTTGCCACATCCAGTCAGTGAGAGTTGTGGAGGACCTATTTTAGCTTTTCACAAGAAGAAAACATGTTCTTTTGAAATCGATTCATGTTCTGCTTCATTCATTGAAGTCTAAAAGCAGTGTTGGAAAGGGTGGGATGTGAAATTAAATCCCAGGCCTTACATCCAAAGTGTATGTTCACTCTGCTGCGGTTTGTTTTCAGTCTTTTTAAATGTTTCAAATGCCAATAAAGCTAATTTGAATTGAATTGAAAATGTTTCAAATCATTTTCAGGATGCATCCAATATTTAGACCCATGGCTCAGTTGAGGTGAAAATGTGAACTAGAGTGAACTGCTTCTTTCCAATGTTTGAGTCCTTTCTAGCCAGCATGTAATTTTTGTATGGTTTTTTGATAATTGTGAAGGCCTGGGTAAGATTCCAGTCCCAGAAGTGTCACGATCCTGCCCTGAGCTTGTCTGTGTTATATTATTTTGGCCATGCCTTCTCGGTGTTTTGATTTTGGTTTCTCTGTGTCTGGGTTTCAGTCCGGTCTGTCTGTGGTCTTTTATCCAGTCTTCTGCTTGTTCTGTGTGGTGGTTCTGTTCTGTCCTGTTATCTCAGTGTCTGCCTTAGTACTTTAGTTTTGTTCCTGTCCCTCATGTGTTAGTTTCCCACCACCATGCTTGGGTTCCGTCTGTTGGTTAGATGTCACTTATGTTCTCTGCCAGTTTTATTAATCTGATTTTGTTCATTCTGCTTTAGTCTCTGTGAGTCCGCATCTGTAAGTTACTTCATATCTGTCTTCTTGTATCTTAGTTCCTAGGTTGTGTCTTTAGTTCTTAGTCCTGTGCCTTAGTTCATGTCTTAAGTGTTTACTCCTGGTCTGTGTACTTCTGTGTTTTGCCCATGTCTGTCCTGAGTTCTGTTCAAGTCTTAGCTTTGGTCTGTGTTCCTTGTTTAGTTGTGATCTGGATTAGTTTGTTATTTTCATTATTCTGATCTGTTTCTTCTTACTTTGATTTGTTTAGTGTTCAGTACTTGTGTGATGTCTGCTCACCTCCAGTATCTGCCTGTCATCCAGTCACTCTGTTTTTTCCTTCTGTCTCTCTGCCTTGTTAACCCTGATCCCAGTCACCTGTGTTGCTTCTGTTTGTCATGCTTGGGATTAATAAACCCTGGAACTCAATCTCAGCTCACAGTGTCATGCGTTTTGGCTCTCTCCTGCTTTGCGCACCCAGTGATCCTGACAAGAAGTACATTGTGGTTAGCTACCACAGCTAATCTGGAGGCTTATTTCTGTCTGTACTTTTAGTCAAACTCGAGCAACTGATGTAAAATTCAAGATTAGTTGGAAAGCTCATCAAGGCTCATGTTGCTTGCCCTGATATACAGTACATATTAGAGCTGCAACTACTAATTAGTTTTGAACTACTAAATTGATCGACAACTACGCTGATAATCAATTAATCTTTTTGAGAGTTAAAAAAAGTCCAAATTCTTTCTTGCCTTTTAAATGTGAATATTCTCTGGTGTCTTTCCTCCTCTTTGACACTAAACTGAATATCTTCTTGAGGACATCATCTTGGCCTTTGGGAAACACTGATCGACATTTTTCAAAATTTTCTGACATTTTATTGACCAAATAACTAATCAACAGATTGATCAACACTGCAATTAGTTGTAGGCCTAGTACATTTACTTTGTTATATTGAAGTCACATTTTGTGAATTATTACAACGGCGTGGTAGGTGCAAAGTAAGCATGACCAAAGTTAAAAAGTTTAAAAATTATAAAATATGATTATTTGCTTGTTTCAAAAGTTGGCTATTTTTCTAAGGTGCCATTTTAAAGTCTGAAATTGAATTCATTAGTATTTAGGTGCAGCCGTGCTTGCAGGTAAAGGCTAATGTCACCATGCTAACAGGCTCACAATAACAATGTTAACAAGGTGTTTAGCAGGTATGATGTTTATCATGTTCATCGTTATTAGCATCCATGGAGCCAGAGTTAACATCAAGACTTCAACTAACAATGTCAGAGTTTTAAGAAATTAAATGAACCCATAAAATGTGTAACAATGATGACACACACCAGCCACAGTTTCCCAGAGCACAAGATAATTAATAATCCAAAGATATTGAATTTACATGACTGAAGACCAGCAGCAGATTCCTACATTTGAAACGAGCGGAGGTTTTTATTTGATAAATTACTATAAACATAATCAGATTAAAATAAAAAATTCATTTTCTGTTGACTGACGGAAAATCTGCAAAAGCAGAATCAAACAAATGCGCATTTCTCTATCCACTAGCATTACTGCAAATTGGATTAGATGCCATAATTAAGAGCAGCAGTCAAAGCTTAGACATTTTCCACTGAGACAAAAACAATGTGGAAAACTGATGGGAATGTGGCATGTTCATACACTCATCTGCTCACAACTCCACACAGATCAGGTGTTTTCATGAGTGAGTAACACGCTTCATGTCCATCTTGATTTCTTTGCTAACTTTGTCACATTTGGCATTTATGGAGATGACGTTTCCACCTCAACCAAGCAAAACAACTTCTTTAATATGCAAATTGATAAATGTGAATAAAGATTGTGGATGGGAACACACCGACTGATGACCGTAGCACTAGCTAACAGTTAGCTTAGCTTTCCAAATTTCTCTAAAACAAGTTGTTTACTATAAATAACCTACACTTTCCCTGGGAGAATTAATAAGATTAACTCTGTTGGTAAGAAATTATTGTCATTAATTAACAACACAAAAGATGCTCATGTTGACGTACTGTCTTCAAAAGGGGTGAAGACGACTTTGCTGGACTCCGGTGACAGGGTTTGGTTGTAGGATGCCTGGACCATCAGGTAATATGTTTTGAAGTGGTGAAGCCTCAGCTTTAATGATGTCTGTGTTACATTATGTGGTAGCGGTTTCCCATTTTTCCCTTTTACCCTGCACAAAAAGAAAGAGAGTTCAAACATTTTCTATAATGCCTTCAGTGTTGTCAGTATGGCAGGAAAATTACAGCTGTCAATAATAACATGAATATTACAGCACGTTCAGTGATGCAGAAAACACGGACGGAATCATGGAATTTGATAATAAAAATGGAATCAACTGTAAAAACAACAACAAAAAGACTTCCTGGCAGTGTGGGCAGAGTCAGAAATTCTGAAAAAGCTATGTCGGGTCAAGCTTGGTAAACATGAGGAGCATTGCCTCCGTCAGACCAAATTATTACGGTGTCTTCAGCAGATGAAGGCTGTCCTGCAGAAGAAATGATCAATAATCAACTATAGTAATAACCTTTTTAATAGGACAATTCACAGTACTATGTTACATGTACTGCAACAATGCATTGATTGTGAATTTTCCTCATAAATAATGCATTGATATTGATTACATTTGTAATATTTTCTTATTGAAGTGTTCATTTTATTCATCCACTACATGATTACACACTCTGATGACAGCATGTAAAACAAAGAATTCAGAAAAATTTAAATGGAAAACATGAAGTTTGTGATTTCAGAGGGCCCAATGAGTCATGGCTTCATTCAAGTGTCCCAGTAAGCCATGTCAGTGAGTGGGCACGCACAATACCAGAGCCCTGGAACTTGCTTACCTAAATGGAATGCAGCCATTGTTATGTTCAAACAGTATGTCAAACTTGTCAGCATACAGTTGCCCATCTACACATGTAGACACAGAGTAACATTAGCAATATTGATTACAGCTGCTTTAGACCTCCCCACAATACGATCAGCTAATACTAGTGTGGCAAGCAAGCAATTCCATCCATCCATCTTCATCCGCTTATCCGGGATCGGGTCGCGGGGAAGAAAGCAATTATCTCTTTCTATTATTTGTGATGTCATTAAAACTGCAATAAGCAATATTTATATAGTAATTCTTATATTATACATAAGGACTATGTGCAATGGGAATGGGGTAACATTAACAGTACTGTAATTCTCCTTATTGCTATTCTAAGCATTTTCGCTTCTGGTTTTCCAGCCACCAAACTCTGCTCTAATAAACCTTGTTATCACACGCAGCACCAACTCTTCTCAGGAAGAAAGCTCTGACAAACCCACTGTACGTTATCTGCCCAGTGTCAAGCGGCAGATATGGTAACCAGCAGGTGAATGTAGTGGAGCATTTGGTAGAGAAGACTCAGATATTTCTCTTGGTGAAAACCAACACAGTGCTAAAAGGAGTGAGTGTTGGACTGACATTCATCAGGCAGCTACAAACACAATTCAAAATGTTGCTGTAACTGCTGGATGTGCAAGTAGATCTGGAATCAGTTTTTAAAGGTGAGAAGAGTCAATGTTGTGTTTTCACAAACATGAAAATGCAGCTTTAGAAACAGCTCACATTTACAGAGTTTAATTTTTAAAGAGGCTCAATCATTTCCAGAAACAGTAGGACATTGTAAGATCTCTGATGTAATTGCTGACGTAATCTGCACTCTGCGCATGCGTTGGCGTCTGTAGCCACCTGTCGGAAGCTCCGTCTTGAACCGGACTCTTATCCAGTTTTAATCCACTTTTTTCGTTACATTTTTTATATCCTTTTATTTAACTTAACTTTATTTAAGTTTTACGTGGGTTAAGGATTTTAGTCATCCGACATGGATTTTAAGATAGATGACCGTAAAAACGCGATCAACGCTACTGATCGCAACAAAGCTCCGGTGACTATGCAAGCCGAGATAACTCTGCCCCTTGAGGACTGCTCACTCCTTAAGAAAGCGAACAAGAAGATTGCTGACCTTATGGAAGACATCCGACGACTTTCAGAGGAACTCAAAGAGAAAGATTCCCTGCTGACTGGCTTTATGGATGTAGCTTGCTAGATTGTTTCTCTTAGCGCAACCGCCAACATCCAGGACACCGTGTTTTGGGACCCTTCTAGTCTTCCCAGGCTTTCATCCTGCTCGACTCCGAAGCATCAGTCAACCTGGGCTGAAGTGGTGGTCCGTGGCTGCAAGAGAGGCTCGGATGGGGCTGCCTCTCCTCCGGACATCGGCCTCTCCAACTGCTATGCAGCCTTGTCTAACGACACTCCGGTCCATCCAGCGGATGCACCTGCGGCTTCGAGTCTCCCTGATACGGATCTCTTTCGGCGCACAGTGCCGGCCGACACTGTTGCATCTCCGCCACCGGCTACATCTCCTGCACTGGGCCGCCGGTCTGCCGCCGGACTTGATCGGCGGCCGTCATCCCGGTCAAAAACCTCCGCTTCCCGACGTAGGATCCTGAAGGAGGCTGTGCTCAGACGCTCCGGAGACCGTCTCTACCCTGCACCGTCGGGTAGCCCTTCTGTCAGGTCTGTTACTGCTACTCCAACACAACACTCGGCAGCTCACACACTCCATCCTCAGTCCGCACGCAGTGTTGAAGCAGATTCTGCTCAGTCCTGCTCTGGATCCCAACAACCAGCATCTCCTCGTCCTCTTTTCTCCCCAACCACACTAATAATTGGTGACTCCATAACCAGAAACCTCCGTTTCTTTAACGCTACCACTCGCTGCTTCCCCGGTGCCACCACGGCTGTCATTTTTAAAAAACTCCAGGACCTGATGCCGTCGCTCCCGTCCTCCATCACAAGAGTGATAGTCCATGTCGGAACAAATGACACAGCTCTTCAGCAGTCTGAGCTGACAAAATTTGATTTTAACCGTCTTCTTAACTTTTTAAAGCAGTGCGGAAATCTATCTATGTTAACTTTTAAGGACACCGAGACCATTTTACACGCCTTCATCTCATCACGCCTGGATTATTGCAACAGCCTTTTCACCTGTTTAACCCAAAAATCTATTGATCGACTCCAGACTGTCCAGAACTTAGCTGCCAGGCTTTTAACCAGAACAAAGAAATATGACCACATTACTCCTATTTTAGCTTCATTACACTGGCTCCCAGTATGTTTTAGAATTGACTTTAAAATTCTATTGATCACTTTTAAAGCTCTTCATGGCCTCTCGCCTTGTTATATTTCTGACCTTTTAGTCCCATACGCACCAGCACGTACCTTGAGATCCTCGGGCAGATGTCTGTTGTCTGTTCCAGAGTCTCGACTGAAAACTAAAGGGGACAGAGCGTTTGCTGTCAGGGCCCCGAGGCTCTGGAACAGCCTGCCCGAGGAAATCAGGTCGGCTGAGTCAGTGAACTCTTTTAAGTCCCTTCTTAAAACATACTTTTATAGGAGAGCCTTTCCCGATCTTATTTGACTTTATTTTATCCCTTTTATTTTATTGTATTTTACTAATTTTATATTAAATTTTTTTGTATTATTCTTTACACTTGTTAAAGCACTTTGTAACTTGTTTTTGAAAAGTGCTCTACAAATAAGGATTATTATTATTATTGTAGTTTTTAGGAAACCTTAGTGAAAGAGGAGTTAACAGTGCATTTGTTTCCTTTTGTCATTTTCTTGTAAAACAGTGGGTTGTATATTGATAAATAAACAACCATGATTTTTGGGGACTTTTCAGTTGTGGTTTAATCCACATTTACTTTAGTGGTCTTTTCAATCAATTTGTTAACAAGATGAAAAACAGAGAGATATCCCCATACTTATCTTTTACAGTTTATTAAGACAGTGAAGAGGTGACTGATGAATTATCATCTGTTCCAAGTTAAATGCAGCAATTAAATCCATAATCAAAGCAGGGAAATATAAAATGAATTGTGAACTATCACAACGAAAAAAGACTAGATTATCTGAAACTGAAAAACACACACACACACACACACACACACACACACACACACCCTCATTGCTTTTTATAAGATAAAATCGTTGGTTCCTTTAAAAGAATCAGCCGGCCTCTCTGTGGTCACAGCTGCATCGCAAACACACCGAGGTGCCACAATAGATGCTAATAGATGGAAACAAACACCACTGTGACACATCGCCTCAGCCACGGCCAAAGACAGCAGAGGTTAAAGAGAGAAAAAGTTCCCCGCAGTCACATATTCAATCAGGACGCTCAGCCACAGATTGTCAGATAGACCATGTACTGAGAGTGAAAATGCAAATAGCGGTTGATCCCATTGTTTCGAGAGGCTGATAAAAACGGACTGATGTAACATGACAAATAAATTCACACTGATAACAAATAAAGTTAGAGATTTCTTTTGTAAAAACAACAACTAAAGTATTTACACCAGCTTTGATTGCTAAATCTAATCTTGATAAAACTGTTTATTGAAGAACTATCAAATGTGTTACAGAGCATGAGCAGTGGAAAGGTACCGGGGCCTGATGGCTTAACAAGATGCTTAATTAATCCTATGGGAAAGGAAAACTACCCCTATCCTTACGATCTGCAGTCATTTCAAACCCCCCCAAGAAAGAACATGGTACCGTGCTATAGTTTTAATGTCATGTGACACCAACATAATGTGCAAGGCCCGGGCAAGGCAGATAGAAACTATCATCCCCATTCTAATCGCTTATGATCAAAATGGTCTGAACAGGGCAGACAAGCATTTCATAACATACACAGGCTGTTATGTTATTATTTTATATGTTAAAAAAAATGCCAGAGACCATGCATTCATGTCACTAGATGCCTAGAGTGGAAATATCTCTTTAATACATTTGGTTTTGGGGAAAACTGTCTTAAATGAATTCAGTTATTTTACACTAAACCAGTTTTCAAAGTCTTGCAGGTCTACACGCCAAGGCAGTCCCATGTCCCCTTTACTATTTTTATTTGCCATCGAACCCTTGGTTATGGCCATCTGTCAATTGTCTGAAGTCACAGGTATAACTATAGATAGGACAGATCCTCATTTGTTGTTGTCGTTTTATTTTTTACAAATTTGGGAACCTTATTATGCACTCTGATGGCTTCTGAAGAGATTTTGTTTTCAGGCTATAAAGTCAGCGCCAGAAAAAAATATCGGCTATTTCTAAATAGATTCAACAAGGAGTAACACCCCCCCCCCAATCCAAACACAGTTTGCTACTGCCCCAGAAGGATTTACTGACATAGGAATTAAAATAACCCCTGATGTTGAAAACATTATACCAATCAATTATGACCCCCTGCTGAAAGACACAGGAGAATCCCTGGGGCAATGGAGTTTAATGCCTCTGATAGGACACATTCATGGTTTCTACATATTTTCCTTTCTCTTTCAGTCCATCCCACTTCCTCTACTGGCCTCCTTTTTGTCCACGCTTAAGAAGAGCTTTACCTACTTTATATGGAACAATAAGCATCCTAGACTGCGGGTCTCCTTTTTACACTGACCATATGAACATGGAGGACTAGTGGTTTAAGGAGATGTCTTGCAGTCTGGCACTAGAAAAACTGACTTACATAGTAAAAGGTAAAGTTAAGGATTTTTATAAAATATAAACGTCTTTCCTTAATTTTATGAACATGAATGTGCAAATGGCTGGGACCAGATAAGCACTGAGGCCACCACCAGTACCATTCCAACAGGGCTTGCTACAGCTAGATCTATGGTTGGGAAGTGGGAAAGAGAATTGGAGGAAGACCAAATTTTACAGTTCTGTTTCTAATTAGCTCAGTTAGTTGTAGGTATGTTTGTGTGTATGTATGCATATATAATTTCCCTGTTTAAGAATCTCTACCAAAAAATGAACTTCCTAATTTTCAAGTGATTAATGATGAACAGCTCTAATGTCTGCGGAATTATGAAGTTCAAACAGGCCCCATTGTCTAGTGCACACTTCCGCCAGCATTCTTACAATATAACAAAATCCAATAGTAATTCTTAGAATACGCAGGAAGTAGCAACGTGCAATCCTCCGCTGTGTAAAAGTACAAAGGCTGGGGGCGTCCTGGAAGCCTCTGCGTTTAAAGTGTTAACCATGAACCACAATGTCCCCGGTTCGGGTCCAGCAGGGGACTTTTGTTGCATGTCATTTCCCATCTCTCTTTCTTATAATTTCCTGTTATGTCTCTATCATAAGTAGGTACAAATGCAAAAGTACTGAAGCAGGATGTGTCCTGAAAACATGGTATAAATATTAGGCATATTTTCTTTAATTAAAATGTATTAATTAAAACTTGGGTTTTGACAAAATAATCTTCGCTTGTTCTACAGCGTTTGACCATGTTACATGGCTCCTCCATCACAAGATTGAAAAAAAAAACAAAAAAAGGTACAGGGTAAATTTATTTGTCACATTACAACAGGAAAAATGAGATGCAGTTTTTAGTACCACACAATTATTATCTATATTTATTATTATTTAATTATTAGAAACTTGTCTCTTAAAAGCAAAATAATGTATAGCTATAGCCTGTCAATGGAAAATAGAAGAATGCTGTGGAACTTCCCAGCCTTACTTTAGAAAAGATGAGCAGTTTCACAAAAAAATCAGCGTGATGTGTTTTCTAGAGAAATATGATGTCATTATCGTATACAGGCTGTCTGACATTATAGAAGGACTGGGATGATACCTTGATGTAATCTAGGCTTTGCTTCACCCCCATATGATTTTTCCAGCTAGCACGTTGTGAAGTGAGTTGATTAGCGCATTGAAATGTTAGCAGTGTTTCCCACAAAATGACAACGTATCTTGGAGGGGAGGGGGTGCAGCTGCTACTGACTATCAGCTATGTAAAGCTGTGTACACTGTACAACCGGTGACATCCTTATTAGCTAGGCTCCTTACATGCTTACTTTTTTGTTTTTTTTGAAGGATGGTGTGTTTCCGACATTGACAGCGTTGTGTTGGACAGATTTGTGCAGATGTGTTCATGATACCAACCATTCAATTCACAGACAGATCTGTTTCTGATTATACGAGAGGAGATGCTGAGCGAATACATGTACTGCGCAACCATTTTACCCGCCACAAATAAATCAATGTATGGGAAACACTGGTTAGAATTTTCTTTTGTTGTCTGTGCCTTGCCCTGATAACTGTTTCTGAAAAGGTTGATAAATATGTTTCATTAAAAAAAGAAGACAAACAAATACAAGCAAGACCTTTGCCTTAATAAAAGTACGTTTGTAATGTACTCTTGATTTGATGACGAATTTGGCCAAATATTCCATGTCCAACTTGACAGTACTGCAGGGGAGAGCGGGGTATGTTGTCACACTTTTCACACTGTCTAGCATTTATTGAGCACCATACATCACAATGGTATAAATATCATACCAAATGAAAGAAGGAAGTCTTAAGTCGCACATATTTTGTACTCATTATATTCACATCTGGCGACCACTTTGTCAGGATTATGTACAGAAGTCACCCCAGTTTCATCAACATTTCGTGTGTCTCCTGGTCCAAACTCATATTTGTGTACATTTTGTCAACATTGTCAATGTTTTCTCTGTTGAAGCTACAGCATTGTGTGCTGCTTTAATAAGTCTGTAAACCAGTCTTTACTGGCGTTCTCGTTTTCTGCCCACACAGGCCTAACTTCAGCTCATGTGCCACAGCAAACCAGTATGCAAACCTGAAAAAAATGTCAGCTGACCTAGTAAAATCTTCCTTCATTCCTGACTTCATTTCCTTCTTTCCTTGAAAAACACATTTCCTCTTGCCAATTCCAAATAAATTAGAGGCTTATTATGCTCCTATCTTTGTTGCCGCAATACAATTTATAACAGCACACTGAATGAATGTATTTTTTCCTGTCGTCAAAGACGGAAAGTGCAGGAATCCTGCAGGGTGTGTGCAGCGCAGAGTAACACGAGCCCTCCCTCTCCGCTTGGTGCAAGCATTCAGGCACCCACCTGTGTGCAAGATGGCTGAAGGAGTCAAATATGATATCCTATTTATTGATTTCTGAGATCCAGCCTCTAGCGTTGGACTTATGACAACTTACACATGTGACAACTTATCCTGCTCTCCCTTACTTTTACTGTGTTTGGGGCTACAGACATGTTGTAGTCTGCACCAAAATAGTTGAGTCCGATACCCTGCCCTGGGATCAAAGAATGAATGCATTATGATTTCTCCAACCCAAAGAGAAACTGGCATCATGCCGTGCGTGGTAGGAAATGAGAGCAGAGACAAGGTGGTGGACAAGGTAATTACCTCCTGATGATCATGTACTGTGTTCCTGGTGGGGTGCCGGGCCCAGGATCCCAACGCAGGACATGGCGGAAGTTGACTGAGTCGACAGAAACATTGACAGGAGCAGGAAGGGAACTGAGCACTGTGTGAACATGTGACGCAATCTGAGCTACAAAGAAAGCACAAGGTACAAAGACACCTGGGAGGACACACCTGAGTAATCAGCTTTGATAACAGTGGGGTACCTGAGGTATTCAAAACTGAATCAACTTCTCAGAGTAAACTTGCTTGACTCACCAGAATCAAACAGGTACAACAGATATAGAACAAGAGGTAAAGAGTTCATCCTTTAGTTGTCATAAAGCACCAGGTAAGGTCGGCATGTCTCCCTCCACAGACTGTATTGTTCCTGTCCTGAAACAGAGAGCATTCCTTTATTCACGTTAACGCTTTTAACTAATGCTATTTTCTTATCTTTTAATGATTATCTAATATACAACTTTTCAAGCTTAAGAAGCTCATATATATGCTAACACTACATATTTTGAGCTGATGTAATAATTATGTCATTTGTCTCTAACGTTACTAACTTATCGTTACAGCGTAATTGACCTAAAGCAGCCCAAGCCACACAGATGAGCACTTTCCTGACGAATGCTTTTATCAACAGTAGAGAGTTTCCAATAACGTTAAATCATAATAAACGTTAACTTTAGGTCATTCTACCGTCACACATATTTATAGGACCTAGTGCCAGGCTGGCTGACAAATTAAGGACATTTCTGACCTTTTAACTCAGTTAGAACCTTAGCGTGTTAGCTAACAGCAAAAAACGAGCCAGTATCTCTCTTCATATTTACTGTTCAGTGACTTACCAACACACAGCAGTTGCGATAGTCGTCTTAAAGTCCGAGAAGGAAAAGCGAAAACAGCCGTTCAGCAGCCCGCAGGTAGAGACGTTGACGCTGTCTGCGCTGGCAACACCGAGCTGACTCACACACCGCTGCTTCCTGTGTCACCTTCAAAGTAAAGGTCTCACAGCTGAACAACTCTTGCGACATCTTCAAGCCAGAGTGAAAGTCCAGGAGTTTAAAGCAGTAAGCGGTGGCATATCTTAATTTTCACGTCATTATGTACACACACATTACGTAGCCTACTATGTTTGACTTTCATAGCTTTCAGGATGTATCACTTTTATTGATTCTTCTTAATCTTCTAGACTCTTACTCTACGATCCATTAAGTAGGGTATTTATGTTGCCTATTTCATCTGATCTCATGATCTGACCTTATCCTTTAGCAGGTCAGCATAAATATCATCTCACAAAAAGGCAAATGAACGTACTACAAACTTGGTCACTATATTAATGATAATACTTTTTAGGTACACCTGGAGCAGTGATGATTGAACAGATGTGAAGGATTAAATAATTACACATTTGGTTTTACATACTGTACATGTTCCAGATTACTGTTATCATGAGACTGATATTTTCCATGCCATTGTTATTTTCAACTTCCTTTGTGAGAGCGTTTACCAAACGTCACTCGCTTATTTTCAGGCTGGCTGTGTAGTTTGCCCACTTAGGGGCCACTAGGGGGCGGTGAAAGAATAGAGAAAAACTCGAGACAGCTATACTATCTCAACGTACCTGTGAGTGAATCAGTGTCTGGCATTACTACAGGGACAAAAGAAACTTCACATAGTAGCAGTTTTCCTTAAGAATATAGTTGATAAATCTATGATTCAGTTAAATGAATTTCTATTTTGTTTAGATTTTAAAATGTGGCAACCTCTGTGGTGTAACATTTTGCTGCTAGTGATTCAGTTCAGAGTTCCAATCTGTTGACTCACCCAACAGACTGCTGTGCTGCCCTGCCCCAGGCTGCCACCCTACTCTGCTTCCATCAGTTAGTTTGTTGGTTTGTTGTCATTTTAAAACTCAGTTTGCTGTTGCTCCTGCATTGCTTTGTGTACATTGATGCAGCTAAGACTGACAATTTGACAAAATGTGAGCCTACTCGGGGTGTCCTTGACTGATCTTCATTATTACCTTTAGGGGCAGCCCGATGAATGCCACCCACCATAGTGGCTGGTAAGAGTGACTGCGTTACAGGCCACTGCCTAATTCTAAGCCCATTTGACAGGTGGGCGGTGCTAATGTCAAACCCTGTTCACAATGCATGTTACTGTTGAGTATAGCAGACCAATAGTGGCCCCACATTAGACAGCTGTGCTGTTTGTTATGAAAATGATTATTCACACCCCAAATGCACTTGTGTCTGAGTACTTTGAAAACTCTAGCTGTATCTGTCAAACACACAAGTGCATGAATGGAAGCTACATTATATTTGTGTCAAGGCTCAGCATGTATCCTCCAGGGGCTCAGGTTCTTGTTTAAGAGGCATTATGTTCCACCACATGCTGTCATGTGGTGAGAGACAGTTTCCATCCGTCACACCTTACATTGATCTCTTCAGGTCAATTACAGTGTGGAAGCTCACTCTAAAAAAGGTCATGCCTCTGGGCATGCTCTCTCCTCACATCTCTGTGCCTGATCATGCTCTGTGCATGTGCACCCAGTGTTCCCACTTTTACCACACTCACACCTTGTATATGCTTTATAGATAAACAGTCCAAACTGTAGACCCGGACTCTGCATCCTTTCTTTATTAACTCTCACCTGACACAAAATAGTGTACTGATCCGACACTCTGAAGCAGTTGCTGCCACGCCTATTGATCCACCCCATACACATTCTCTCGCACACTCACTATTTGGTTTAAATGTGGTTTCTTTTGAAAATTACAGGTATATTGGTGAAGTGACACAAAAACCCAGCATGTAATTCTTTTAAAACCTTTTCTCAGCCTGCCCTTCCTAGCAGCTTGAGTGTGCTGCTCTTTCCTTAATGACATTTGTTCTGCCAAGTAGTTCCATGTGAAGCCTATTTTAACATGTTTTGGGAAGTGGTACATCAGTTAGGTTAATTATTAACATACTCACTTCACTAAGTTTATTGCTGAGATCAGGAAATGCAACAACGAGATGAAATTTTCTGATCTAGTGCCCCTGTAGTTAGGCAAACAAGCATGTTGATATTGGTCAACTGGGCAAAACCCTGAAATGCATATATTTTTTTCATGTCCAATGGCAGTGCTTTTTAAAATCTCACTTCCTACAATGTCTGTGCATGGCAAATGGTTAGATTGGGGAAAGACTGTGGTTATGGCAAACAAACTATGGTATTCTTAGGGTTGCAAACAGCACTCTCCTATGTCAAAGTCACACACCTGGTACAAATATTTAAAACTCTGTATATTTAGGTGTAGAAATGTGTACACACACACAAAACAGGTCAGATCTATAAAAACCCACATGTTAGCTGTGGGTGTTTGTTTATGATACATCTAACATCATATTTCACATAGTGTGCCAGCTACTGAAGGAGGAGAGGGGACCCCAGCCAAACTGCTATTAATGGCTTTGTGAAGATGTGTTAGGAGATACATACTGTATGTACCTGCCCAGATGGAAGAAAGGTAAGTCACCATCTTATTGTGGTCTTTTGTTACAGTGTATAATATTTTTTTTATAGATTCTGATGAAGACCCGAGTGCCTCCAGTGAACAGGTTGAGGTTCGAGGAAGAGAATCTGGAGTGTGCGTCACAGTGCATCAGGTCTGACACGTTCTGCTGGGAAGAAGAATACATTCCTCACCACCAGATTGTCCAACACAGCACACACCCTTACAATGTTGCAGACGTTGTTTGCATTTAAAGCTTACATTGCCTGAAACAGAAACAGCATAATTATCAAACGTTATTAAATGAAGTAATGAAGCCATTCAACCTGCACTGCAGCAGCCTTTAAGTCTCCTCCCCACACAGCTTTGAGACAGTATGAATCAACTGTGGCTTGACCTAGGCTATTTGGCAACCACACAAGTTAGCATCATTTGTGCATCACAAATGATCTGGACATTGACGAGGTCATAAAGTAAAAAATTCTTCCTCCCAAGGTGCCCTTATTGTAACATGTGTGCAGTACATTTGGGAAACCAGACTTTGCTGCAAATCTTTGCTGCATTTTGATATTGGCCTGCAAAGTAAGGAAACCTGACGTATCTATTACAGGAGGCAATTATGCAATCCCACCCCATGGGCATGACTCTGCTCAGGGCAAACTGGGAAATACCTGACATGTTCGCAAGTTCCCGCTGAAACAACCACAATGTTGTCAATACCCGAGATGGCATGGTTTCAACGTGGGGCCTAGTTCAGCACACACTTCCAAGAGAACAGCTCTCGGAAATAGAAAGCGGGACATTATTTGAAAGAATCCAGAATTTCTCTTTTGTTTAGATTTTAAATGTGGCAACATCTGTGGTGTTAAATTTTGCTGCTAGTGATTCATTTCAGAACATAATTCCAAGAGAACAGCTCTTGGAAATAGAAAGAGACACATTGGCCAGTCATCATCAGGGGCCACAAAATCATTACAGTTCTTGTTTAAATTGCACAATAGAAATATTCTCCAGCAACGCCAAAGCAGACTGAATCTCACTATCCACACTCAGTCTCATGGACTTTGAGGCACATGCCTGGTAAGTTAGTTAGGGCTATAGGACTGTCCCACTTTAAAATCATCAAGTGCATGAGGGGCTATCTCGCAGACTTGTTCTGCTCTTTATACACACTCTTCATAAGTCCAACTAAGTGCAGACTTATGCCATGTTTCGACCAAAGGCCTAACTAAAAGATTCCTTCAGCCCACTGTTGTGTGCGTTTCCACTGTGGTCTAAAGACTTGAGAAGAAATTAACTAGCTGATGTAGGCTGTAGGCCTTCAGGCATCATTATTTGTAACCACTATCCATGAGAAAAATCTATAAAAGAACATCAGATTTGATTGGAATATAATGAAAAACTACAGGCTTGACCATTAAAGCAGCTTTTTGTGTAGGAGTATAATGAAGAGACACAGGATAAAGTTTGTTACAAATTTAATAACAAACTGGATAAAACCATAAAGTTCTTCAAATAACTTCAGCACATAAAAAGAAACAAAAATAAAATTGCGACAGTTTGGAAGGTTATTAAAACATTTCCAGCCGAAAAGCTTGTTTTGGGGAGGAGGAGACAGACTTCAGCTCTGTGTAAAAACTTTCTGACTGATGAAAACTTAAAACAACAACTATCTACCACCCACTATTTAGCATAGCTCCATCAGCTGTTGGCTGTAAACACACCGCTGCACACTGGCTGCTAATTCCAAGCAACACATTTAATGCCAATCTCAGTTGACAGCGGCGAGACATGTGTGCTACATATGTGACTGCTGATTGTGACAAAACAACTATTTTGAAATGACGCATTATTAAAGTTGTGAAACACTGCAGTTTGGTTGGGTTTAGGCAACAAAACTACTTGGTTAAAGGTAGGAACACATCCTGGTTTGGGTAAAAAAAAAACTACATATGTCAGTTAACAACGTCAAGAGAGAGCTTCCCCCAGTGCGTTGAACTATTCAATTAAATTCAATTAAATATTTTATTTATTTATTTATATATAATAATAATAATAATAATAATAATAATAATAATAATAATAATAATAATAATAATAATATAGTTTTATATATATATATATATACAAAAACAGTTATCTCACAGCGCTTTTCATAAAAGAGCAGGTCTAGACCGTACTCTATGATGTTATTTACAGAAACCCAACAGTTCCCACCAAGAGCAGCACTAGGTGACAGAGGCAAGGAGGGGTGAAGGACAGAGAGGGAGAGAGAGAGTGAAAGAGAGGAACAGAGAGAAAAAGAGAGGGATGGAAGGAGAGAGAGGGGAGGGAGGCAGCCTACACAATACACACACACAGAGGTACAGACAGTAAAGGTGATGTTACTATATGACTAAATGAAAAATGGTATAGATATGTATAGTAGTGTTAATGATAAAAATTGTAATGTTAATGATTATAATAACAATAATAACAATAAGACTAGCAACAATAGTCGTTGCA